GTTTTCTTGGGATGAGCCTTTGCCAGCTCTTTACAGATAAGCTACAGAAACTCTGCCTCACTGCTCTGGAGAAGCATAGAAGGAGAGGAGAGGAGAGAGAGAGAGAGACAGAGAGACACAGAGAGAGAGAGAGAGAGAGAGAGAGAGAGAGAGAGAGAGAGAGAGAGAGAGAGAGAGAGAGAGAGAGAGAGAGAGAGAGAGAGAGAGAAAATAGCACCACCTTGCCTGTAATTGAAGGCAGGTTGGGAGCTGTTCTGCTTTGAAACGCGCCTTCTTGTGAAATGTTTTATGAAACACTTTCCACAAACGAGTTATGCAACCACAACAGCAGCTTTGATCGTTTTCATCACCAGTGATATATTCATTAGTGTTGGGCTGTTTTTCCCCCAGAGTGGGTCATGTGACTGTGTCCTGTGGAGGGAGCTTAACGAAAAGGACCCCGGCTCCACCGTGCACCTGTCCAGAGGGGGTGGTGCAAGTATGCCATAGGCCTGAGCACCGCCTTGCCTGGTTTCTGGGATCTGTTTCTGGGACATTTCTATTTCTAGTGTCTACTGGTAGAAGAAGCAGTAGAGAAGATCAGGAGACTATGGCCTTGAGGTCTGTGGGTCCCTGGCTACGTATCTTGGTATCCGCATCTTAAATTCTCCGAGCTTCTTTGGAGAGAAGGTCCCGCATCCTTCTAAGGAAGACACAGGCGAGGCTACTGAGGGCTTCTACCTCTTCAGGAGGAGAGCACCTTCCTTCTAGAGGGAGGCTCACTGCTTTCTAAAGTAGTAAAGTCAGGGAGTTCAATTGGATTAGAAAAGATAATCGCTCATGATAGCTTTTTACTTCCCTGGTCACTGCCCAAGACTCATCGCAATACCTTTGCAGAGAGCCGTGGGTGGAGGAGATCGTACACTCTCAAACCTCGTCTGCTAGGTGGATAGGATGTTCTGGGCCTGGGCCAGGGCAAGTGCTTACTGTGGTGGGTGCTGTCCTCAGGGGTTAGCTTTCCCAGGCAGAGCCCAGAGAAGTCTTTCTACTCAGGTAACAAGAGCTACCAATGAGACCCTGGAAACCATCTTAATGGTTTCAAGCAGGCCGTGGGGTTAGTTAAGTTCTCACAGGGATGGGGGAAATTGGGTTTTCATCCAACTTGCCTGCGGTTCTCATCTTAGAAGTCAATGGGATCCAACAGAAGTCTCTATCTCATCTTGCAGACCCACAGCCAACACCCAGTAGCCTGGAAAGGTTCCAGCCTTTTCCACTTGACAGCTGTGAAAAGGGATTGTTTTTGGGATTAGTGAGGGCTTTATTTCTTAATTTCTTACGTTCCTTAGCCCCTGAGAGTGTTAAAAAAAAAAACCATGCTGGAGGCAGTGCACCAGCACCCCATGCCTGCTAATCTAGCTCAGACTTTATTTTTCTTTTTTTAAACCCAGTCACACCACAGCCCCAGAAAGCTGAGATTATGGAAGAGGTGCTCTTGTATCCTGTTTATCTGTTTTTCAAGAAAGTGTTTCTCTTTGTAATGCTGGCTGTCCTGGAACTTGCTCTGTGTAGACCAGGCTGGCCTTGAACTCAGGGATATGCCTGTCTCTTCCTCCTGAGTGCTGGGATTAGAGGTGTGCTACCATGCTTGGCTTCCTGTGTCTTTTTTATTTATTTGTTCAGGGCTATCTGCTTTGGGAATTACACTCAGCACTTTTCCCCCAGGGGGGTGGGGAATTGCTGGAAAAATGAATGAATAAAAAGATTGGTGAATCAAAACGAGACAAATTACTCTCAGAAGAGTCACCAAGAAGCTGCAGCCTACAAACTAGGAGGTTTCTACCATCAGGTATTTTGTTTGCTGCACCAGGAGGTGGGAGTGCCCCCTCCTTGAGAGTATGGGGCATCGATCTGTGAAGCAGATGAAAGGGTGCCTTTTCTTTTATGGTGGTGCTGGTTTCTGAACTTCAGCATTGCAGGAAGACCTGGCAGCGATCCTAACAGATAGCGCCCAGGTTGGAGGCAAAGCGCATGCTTCCGAGCTCTGTCATAGCTTATCTTTCTCTACGGAGCATAATGAGCCTGGAAAGGAACCCACTGCTTGCCTTTGAGCTGGAACTGTGCCAGGCTGCCTGGGGTGGTTCTACCGGTGTGATTTCTCCTCCAGGTTTCCATGTTCTCTCTCTGTCCTCCATCTGTTTCCCCAGCCTCTCTGGGATGGGGATGCCTGATGGCAGGAAGGGAGTAGACAACATAGAGGTATAGCGAGAAGGCTGGCCAAAAGGGTTTTCAGAGCAGCCCAAAATGTGTTTTGGTGGTGGTGGTTTGGAAGAAGACCCGTCATTGGTTATCTAGTTTTTTGAAATCTGCTATCAAAGGTCTCAGTGTGGAAGCTCTTAAGGTCTGTGGATGGAAGCCAGGTGTCAGCACTTCTGAGAGGGGGGGTACCAAGTGTGATGGGGAGAGCTTAGGGGACACAGGGAGGGGAACTCTGGAGGCCAACCCATATGCCACGCCTTTTGAGTTCTCAGAATCACTCTGTCCGCATAGTGCTACAAACCCATTTCTTTTCCTTTCTCCCCTTTGCTTCAAGGTCCCAGAATGATCTCTGTGAGTGGGTGATGATTTGCAAAATATGCTTGGAAAAGCCAGCTCCTTTCAAATTGTCTGCCCAGGGCTTCTCTGGGGTCTCTTGGTAGTCTGAAATTGGTTTTTGAATTTCAGCATGGTGGACTACTGAGTCTACCATCTGTGTATGTGACTAGAGTTGGCCATTCCCCCTTTAGAATTAAGAGGAAGAAAAACCACATAGGAGCATGTAGCAGATGGGGAAGCCAAGTCTCCTATCATTCAAGATCACATAGGAAGTTAGATGAGAAAAAGGGTCCACCCTGGGGTTTTCCTCACTGCTTCATCTGCTCTACAGAGGTAGGTTTTCCCTTATTTTAAACAGTAGATTGATTTATTTTTACAGGTTCACTTATTGATGCATATGTGTATGTGTGTGCATATATGTGCAGGTGTCCTTGTAGGCCAGAAGAAGGCACTGGGTCTCCTGTAGCTGGAGTTACAGGCTGCTTTGAGCCACCTGATACAGGTGCTCTTAACCACTGAGTTACCCCTTCAGCTCTGTAATTGTCTTCTAATCAATAATCAATCAAGCAATCAATAGTCTTCAGATTCCTACTATTTAGCCCCTTACTGAGTCAGCCAATGGGATTCCCTTTCTTATGATCAAAATCCATTTTCCATAGGGATTCAGCGCAGGCTCTGATGTTGCTCCCAGCTCATACAATTGGTTTTTGTTTGTTGTTTGTTTTGAGGCAGGGTCTCCCCTGGCACTCCTTACACTGGAGACCCTCCTGCCCCATCCTCTATCAGCAGCATGCACTACTTGTCGAGCTCATACTCTCACCTTTTTGCTTGGGTTAGTCATACTGCCAGTGTAGACAGAGACAATGGTTTAAGCCAGCATCTGTATGGCTCAGAGTTTTATCTGTGATGAGAATCATCAGCTGGCCTATTTCAGAAGGTCCCACCAAAGTCTTTCTCGAGGTGTGGTGTGGATTCTGCATTCCTCCATCTATTGTATGCACTCAAAGTCACTTGGCTCCCCGCCCGGTGGACTTCCTGAAATTTTGTGAGAGAGTAATTGTTCAGGAGTAAAGGAGGGATGGGCACAAGCAGTACTTCCTGCCTTCCTCAGAGATTCCTGGGAAACCCAAGAGTGGGTGGTACTTGTGTCATGGGAAGATGGTAAAAACAGAAAAGAACTGGAAGCCACCAAAGGCCCCTCAGGCTACAGTACCGAGGGCAGATCTCTGCTTGTAGGGTGACTGACCACCCTGTCACCAAAACCATGAGGACCCAGAGGGCCTCAGCAGATGCAGCTCAGCATGGAGAAGGTGGAACGAGGGATGAAGGGAAGGAGCCCCGGACCTGCAGTTTCCAGGCTTCCGGCTTTCAGAGATGGGACTCAGTGTAGAGAAGTCAAGAGCAGACTTTGGAGAGCAATTAAAGGATGTCATGGTTTTGCTCTTTTGAGGCAGGGAGTTTTAAAGATACCACTGAGAGTCATAGTCATCTCAGAGGAAATTCTGATACCCCAGTGTGGAGGAAAAGCAAAGAATTTGCAAACATTTGCTCTAGTAAGCTTTTGTTTGTTCACTTGGTTGGTTGGTTGGTTTCGTGTACACCCAGGCTGAGTTCAAATGTGATCCTCCTGCCTCACCCTCCAAATAGCCGTGATCACAGTGCACGAATTACACCTGGCCATTGGAGATTATTTTCTGGTTTGAGTTTTTTGTTGTTTTGTTTTGTTTTTGTAGTTTGTGTTTGTTTGTAACAGGGTCACGATACCCTCTGAGCTATCCTTCAGTCACAGCGGCCATTGTTGTCATCAGAACAGCTGGGGCTGTTTCTAGGAGACCCACATAGGAGGGGGGTGAGGTGGGTCATTAGACCCTCACCTGAGATGCCTGCCATCCTGTAAAGGGAAGCTTTTTCCTTGAGAGAAACCTTCCCGCCTGCCTGGTTCCAGAGCCGCATCAGTCCCAAGTAAACACACAGGAGGCTATATTAATTATGAAGCTGTTGGCCTTGCTTGCTTCTTACTGGCTACCTCTGACTTAAGTAATTACCCCATAATTGTTAATCTAAGTATTTCTCTTACCGGAGAATAGTTCCGGGCTTCCTACCTCCATGGCATTACATCTTGACTCCTTGTGTTTCTCCTTCCCAGAGTCCTCCTGGACTCCTAGTCCCTCCTATCTAGATTCCCTATAGGCCAGACAGTGCTTTATTGACAAATAACAGGCAAATAACAGGACTTCCCCAACAGGTCCCCTTTGCAGACTGGTCCTGTAGAGCCCTCGTGGGACCCATCCATCCCTTTAGCCCAGGGATTCTGGGTTACCCACTTCCTCTCCAGACTTGTCACTCATCTCCTGCTCTAGTCTTCATAGCTCTGTTTCCGTCTTCTGGGGAGTCCCAGCACTCACCTTCTCCTTCTGCCTCTATTGCAGATTAAGACAGAGGATCTGGGTGACTCTCTACAGCAGACCCTTTCCCACAGGCCATGCCACCTGAGCCAAGGGCCTGCCATGATGCCTGGAAACCAAATGTCTGGGGTAGGTGCCAGCCCGTGCCATGGACCCTGCTGTGTTTTCTAGGTCGGTGAGTCTGTTCCAGCCCTCTACAAAATGCTGGCTCTCTATACTTGACACCCTGTGAATTCATCCAAGGAGCCCCCCATTACAAGCAAAGGAGACCTGGAAGTGTATATGTGGGGTTTCCAAAAACAGTCCTTACAGAAGTGAGGCCTGGTAAGGGACACAAAAGGACATGCCACTGCTTTTATAGTACCAAAAGCCAGTTTTGACAAAAACAAAGGCTCCAATAGCTGCGCTACTGGTGTGACATTGAGGGCCTCTAGTGATGGACATTGGCTAAGTAGTGGCAGATCCTCTCTGACTCTAGTGGATCCACTCTGTCTCCTTCAAGATTATATGACAAAATGAAAAAGGAGAGGAGGGCTGCTGTCTGGAGAGCAGTGAGCCTCTGGTTGGTAGGATAGATGACTCTGGGGGATCTTGTAGTTCACCCGGGGAAGAAAGATCTACTTTCTGAGCCATTCTTGTGACTGGCATATGTATGGCACCTCCTTCATTTCATGAAGTTTGTCAAGTGTGTGTGCATAGGCCCCAGGTCTATGGGGTCTAGAGCCCCCAGATGCTGGGATCGCCATTTCTGTATCTTGAGGTAGTGAGAGAAGCTCAGAGTGAATGACTTTCTGTTTAATACTTTAAAAACCCAGCCTAGGGCAGAGCTTGTAATATTAAAAAAAAAAAAAAAAGTAGCCTGGGGCTGAGCTTGATGGTGCTTGCCTTTAATCCCAGTGCTCAGGAGGCAGAGGCAGATGGATCTATGCAAATTCAATGCTAGCCTGGACCACATAGAAAGCTCCAGGCCAGCTAGCATTACATAGTAAGAGAGCCTGCCCCAAAACAAAACAACAGCAAAGCTAGGCACGATGGTGTATGCCTGTGACCCCAGTGCTTGTCAAGCAGAGGTGGAAGGGATTACTACAAGTTCAAGAACCCCTTGTACTACACAGTGAGTTTGCAGCCCTCCTTGCTAGAGAGTGAGACCTTGTCTCAAATAAAATAGCAACAAAAATAATTCTTTTCTTCCCCCCATTCCCTAATACCTTCTAAAAGGATTCAGGTACAGGAAATAATTAAAGAGTGGCTTTGAGCATATTCAAGTGACATGATAGTTTAAGAAGATGGGCAGTTGGGATTGCTGCCACTTCTAGGATAAGCCTTTGTGACATGGGTAATACTTACTGTTGGTCCTCATGGCATCTACAGTTGGGACTCAGGACACAGACAAATGAAAGCACAAGAACAGAGTTAAATAACTATGCTTCAGGGACAGCTTGGTGGATTGCAGGAGCAGCACCAAAGTTAACGGCCTAGCTACTGTATGCCCCGTGTTGGGAATGCATGGCAACACGGAGCAAGGACACTGCCCACAACTTCCCAGAGTTTTCAATCCCAGGCACTGTAGGAGTCATAGGTCAGTTGGCTTCAGGTCCCCTGGCTCTAGGCTGTGTAACATCTGTGCCTCTCTCCACCTGCAGGACATGGCTTCTCTCCATCCTCTCCAACAGCTTGTGCTGGTCCCTGGCCACTTACAGTCGGTATCCCAGTTTCTGCTTTCCCAGACGCCACCTGGGCAGCAAGGTAAGCACCCTAGGCTTTGTACAGCCATTGCCTGAGTCTAGAAAAGGCTATTGCTGCTTACTGGGCATGGAGCAGAGAAGTTGCTCACCACTCGTGGGGCTGGGAATAGCTCTTAGCTGATAGAAAGCTTGCCTGGCATACAGGATGGCCTGGGTTTGATTCCCCAGCGTTACATAAAATCAGACACAGCGACATCTCTAGTCCCAGTGCACATGTAAGTTGGAGTCAGTTTAGGCTTTATGAAATCCTGCCTGAAGAAGACCAGCTTTTCTGCCTGGGACCCAAGAAGGGGTTCCGGGGGACAGGGGTATAGGGGCTCCAGATTACATCATCCCCATTTCTCCTTCCTGCCCTGGCTCTTGCTGGGTCTTGATTTTCATAGGAACTGAGTCTAAAGGTTCGGACTGATGCTCATGGGGGTGGAGGTGATACAAGGAAGCAGAAACTCCCTGGGATCCCTTGGAGTCTGGCTTGCCTTGAGCCTTTCCCTCCCTTTGGCCTGGCTATGATTCTGTCTGGATGGAACAGCAGTGCCTCCCACAGGCTATTGAAAATAGGTTTGGTTGTCTTTGGCAGGGAAATTACTCCCAAACCTTGAGCAAACACATCGGAGCATTAACAACACTAAGTATCATTGCTTAACATGCCTGGGAGTCTGTTGAGTTGTTTTCCTGGCTTATTCCTCAGAGTAAACTTGTGTTATAGATAGCCCCTATTGCATGCTGGTGACCTACTAGGAAGTTCCAGAACAGTCTAAGACCCATGTTCTAGATGATCACACTATACTGCATGCCTTTCCATTCATCACTGACAAGCAGGGCTGAAAATGCTATTGGAAGTATGAGCTCTCCATAACTCATACTCTAGAGGAGAAATTGGAAGTCCAGGTAGCTGTACCCCACTATGGGTAGCTGCTTAAGACATGGGCCCCATGCTTAGCTTACAACATGTCTCAGAATATCACTAGGATGGATGGGAATACATTTGAGTGTTTCTTCTGGCTAACCAGCATCCATCATAATCCTGGACTAGGAAAGAGAAGATAAGCATTGGTTCCGTTCATTTCCGGAAGACTCTGAGTGGTGTGAACATAGCAGGCAGAGAATGCACAGGTGCTGGCATATTTTAGGAGGGAGGGAACAGAAAAACAGGCTAAAATTTGAAGTCAGAGAAGTTCTTTAAGAAAGTAAAGTACTGGGGACTGGAGAGATGGCTCAGCGCTTTAAGATTAGCATTGGCTGTTCTTCCAGAGGTCTGAGTTCAATCCCAGCAACCACACGGTGGCTCACAACCATCCGTAATGAGATCTGGCACCCTCTTCTGGCCTGCAGTCATATATGCAGGCAGAACAGTGTATACATAATAAATAAAGTTAAAAAATAGTGACTGTGTTTCTTTAGAAAACTTATGTAATCTCTACAAGTTTGCTTCCTCCTCTATAAGAATAAAGTAAACCTGCATCACAAGGTTATTGATAGGGACTTGGTTTGTTCATACGACAAGCCTCTGCTCATTGCACAGAACACAGTGTAAGCAAAATTAATACTCAAGCCTCTCTTACCTTTTGAGCTTTTGACTAGAAAAGTCAACTTTAGCAAATACGGTACATCAGCAATCCAAAACTGCCTGGGGACAGCAGATATGCCAAGGGGCTCTGCTATACCGAGTGACAGAGATGGCCCGTTCCCATTGGCAGTTTTGCTGGTTTGAGGGCTCCCCTCCTGCTAGGAGTAAGAAGTGCTGACTCTGGCCATCTGAAGACAGGAGCTACTGATCACAGTCATCAGACAGGCAAAGCCTTTTCTTGGCGTTTTCCTGAAGATGGAGGGAGAGGGAGGTCCTTAAGTAGCAGGTAGACAGAATCTCCACCACCCAAAGGGAGTTTGAAGGCCCCAGCATCTGGCCTTCCCTTTGCTGTCAGGCCTCCCTCCAATGAATTTAATGACCTAGTCATCAGGAGCCTCTGACCAAATGACCCAGTGCCCTTCTGAGCAATGATAGGGTACCATCTGCTTGCTTTGCCCTTACAGATCTGGCGGGCCTAACAGCCCAGCTGCTTTCTCTTGCAGGCAGATTGAAATGCTCTCCTCCCCCTGGGGCTCTCTAGTCATCCTGCGTCTTGCCCCTCTGGGCTTCTCGCCCTGCTAATCAGATTCCAGGCAGAGTGTCTTGACCCTCCTATGCCTTTGCAGCTCTCCAGGCAGGCAGGCAGGCAGGCAGGCAGGCAGGACAGGTTTGGGGACTGCTGTTTACATCTGTTTATCCCTGAGTCTGGTTGGCCTCCACCTGTATGTGGCAATTCCTGGCAGTGCCCACAGGGCCTTTCAACCAGGCTTAAGGTGGGTTGTGGGACCTGATTAGGTGAGCAGCAGGAGGGGGCAGTTAGCATGGATTCAATGTCCAGCTTGTCTTTCAAATGGCCTGGATTTTGTTTGTTTTGTTTTGTTTGTTTGTTTGTTCCTTTGTCCCTCCCCTGTCACTCAGGTCTGCAGCCGAATCTTCTCTCCTTTCCACAGCAACAAAGCTCTCTACTCCTCCCACAGACAGGGCCTGGCCTCGCCTCCCAGGTAACTGCCAACCCCCTCCTCCTGTTTCTTCATAGACTGTCCCAGCCCTGGGCCGACTTCAGCTCCTCAGACTTCCTGCTCCTCGGGGGCTCTCTCTGTTGGCCTCTGGGAAAACCCCAAGCTATTCCTAAGGAGGTAGTTTACTTGTCACTAAAATGTGACTCTCTGGCTGGCCTGGTGTTTGCTATGGGCACACAACTCCAGCCCTGTCAGGTTCCGGCTTCACCCCCTCTAAGAACTTAGCCAGCTACTCAAGACGCTAAGCTACTCCTACCCCCAGTTCCACCCAGATGCCCTCAAGCCCCAAGAAGGGCAGGGCAGCAAAGCCAGTATCTCCCCTCAGGACCACTTCAGCTGGCATATGCTGGGGACAAGCAGGCTGATGTCTAGCAAGAGAGTCCTGTGCAGACCGCTTTGGTGCCCACACAGAGCACCTGCTTGTCAATTGGGAAACAAAAGTCAGTTTATGGCCTGCCTCGTGCCAGGGTGTCCTTGGGATGTTAATAACCTACACAGATGCATGGTTTCTTCCTACAAGGAATGATTAGAAATTACCACAGAGACTTGTAATATTCTTTCTCATGGGCTAAGATCCCCAAGGCTCACTAAGGACCCTGGCTTTCCCTAGGCCTGACATCCACAGAAAATAGCTAGAAGGAGACTGCCATCTAGTGGTTGAAAGAAATGGCAACAGCTAAGCTCCTATTTTCTTCCTTTTGGCTGCATCCAAAGTATGGCATAGTTATAGACCCTGATCTATGACACTGAGGTCCTACAGTGTACCCAGGACCAACTCAAGAGACTTGTGGCAGAGAGACCATTTAGAAGATTAAGGCCCTTCTACTTGGGGTGTCGTGGTGTCTGTCTGTACTTCTAGATACCAGGGAGGCTAAGGCAAGAGAAATTACTTGTTGAAGCCCAGTTTGAGTAACACAAAGAGACATAGTCTACAAATTAATGAGTAGAAAGGTCCTCCTAGAGTATGATGAGTGACCAACAGTCACAGAAACAAGAGCAGTCTGGGACGTCAAACTGATGCCATCAGGTAACTGGTGGGGTGTGGAGGAGGAGGAGGAGAATGTGTAGCTCAGTGTGTTTGTCAAATGCAACAGCAAGTGAATTTACAAAACGGAGAGTTCAAGGGCGACTACAGCTTCGCTCTGGGGATCTGGGCTGGGCTACCTCCCATCCTTATCTCCTTATCTGTGATGTTTCCAGCCACTCTGACCTAGAAGACTCTGTTTATCCTCCTCCTCATAAGGATGCCTGTGTCTGGGAAACCAAAACAGGAGAGAGGATTGAAATTCCTCAAAGAAAAAAAGCAGACAGACAAGGGCTTTCTGCTCATTGTCCTCAAAGGCGTGAGTAGTTTCTGTGCTGGACACAGTGTCTGGCCCCCAGGGTCTGGATTGCACTCCATCTTTGTGAAATAATAGATATATCAAGGAGCTGGAGAAGTGGTCAAGGGGTTAAGAGTTCTTGTTGTTCTTGCAGAGGACCTGGGTTTGGTTCCCAGCACCCACATGTTGGCTCACAACCATCTGTAACAACTCCAGTTAAGGGGAGCAGACTCCCTCTTCAGACTCCTCCCTCTTCAGACTCCTCCCTCTTCAGACTCCTCCCTCTTCAGACTCCTCCCTCTTCAGACTCCCTCTTCTGGCCTCTAAGGGTACATTTATTATACACATGCAGGCAAAGCAGCTGTACACATAAATATCTTTTTTTAAAATAGCTACTTCAAGGCTATGCATATTCTCAATCTCGTGTGAATGCAGCATGTCTCTAAATCAGATGGTAGATTTTCCTATGAAAACAAACTAAAGAAGAGATGTTTTCTGAAAAGGTGTGTTGGAGACAGCAGCAGTTAAAACAAATAAACAAAAAGCCTTTGCTTGGGGCTCGAGAGAGCCATCAGGCTACTCATTCCCAGGGCTCACATGGTGGCTCACACTTTTCTATAACTCTTATTCCACGGGATCCAACACCCTTCTTGCTCCCACAGGTCATAGGTACACATACATACATACATACATACATGCATGCTACATACATACATTTACCCAAACACATAAAATAAAAACAAATCTTTTAAAACCACCTTTGATTTAAAACTACACCTCTCTTCAGGAATGATGGTGTATATCTATAAAGTACTACAGAGGCTAAGGTAGGAGAATTGTGAGGACCAGCCGGACTGGGTAGTATGGCAAGATCTTTTCCTAAAAAAAAAAAAGGACATATAAAAAAAACCCACAACATTCTCAAGAAAGAAAACTGGTATAGTAAGGAAAGTGACACCCACAACTAATATGCCTTGCTCTGTGGAAAAGAACAGGCAAATAACCTTTTCCTTGTCCCGTGCTGAAGTTTATCCCACGCTGAGATCTTAGATCTAGTAGTAAACACTAGATTGCCAGCTCCTTTTATGGTGGAAAGCTGACAAGAGGAAGTCACCTACTCTGAGTCAGTGAATCACCATAGGGCCCAATAAACTCCAGGACCTGTCACCCTCTAAGTGAACATTAGTAACAAATGCGGAGACCTCTGCTTGGCCTGGTGAAACTTTGTGGCTCACCCTAGCTTGTGTTCCTTATTAGGCAGTTGGGCGCCCTGGGCTGTCCGGATCCTCTTTAGAGCCCCATCTGGAAGCACCTCAGCATCTGCCAGTGGCCAAGCATCTTCCTGGCCCAGGGGGGACTGACGAGCCCAGTGACCTGGAGGAGCTGGAGAAGTTCGCCAAGACCTTCAAGCAGAGGCGCATTAAGCTGGGCTTCACACAGGTTTGCTTTGGGAGCAGCAGGTGGAAGAGGTGGGTTGTGGGGTAGTGGCTGGGTCCTCACAAATGCGCTTCTGGGAGCATCCTGACACCAGTTGGAGCAAGTGCCCTGCACTCTGATGATAGAGCACAGAGTGCTCGTGGGAAGGAAAGTGAGGACATTGCTGGTGGAGACAAAGGCCAAGCAAGGGCACGGCCCATTCATAGTGTAAGGAGAGAAATAAGCCGGCTTTGCATCCTAGAAGAGGAAGACCTGGGAAGGCGCAAGGCTGTGTGAGGATGCTCAGGCCTCTGCCTGTGTGATAGCTTTAGGGCAGCAGAGGACACAGACAAAACATAGACGTCTGTCCCTCACCTTCCTCTCTCTCGATACCTCTTGCAGGGAGACGTCGGCTTGGCGATGGGAAAGCTGTATGGCAATGACTTCAGCCAGACTACCATCTCGAGATTTGAGGCTCTCAACCTGAGCTTCAAGAACATGTGTAAACTCAAGCCACTGCTAGAGAAGTGGCTGAATGATGCAGGTGGGCGGCAGAGACACAAACGTGGGAGGGGCCCCAGGAGACCCCACTGGGTGATTCTAGGAGCACGGGTGTGATGGGGCTTGACCCGGTCAAGGCATAGGATCCCTTTATTCCCCTTTTGAGTCTGGCATGAACCAAGAGGTAAGATCCAGGAGAATGGTAAGCAGGGATGAAAATGTCATTTTTGTTACTGAGGGAGCCCTTTGGCAGGTATGGTTCATCTGTGGCAGGACAACTTGCTTCGTTTCTATTCTATTCTATTCCATTCTTTCTATCCCTTTCCCCAGAACTACCTACCGTATATTTCATGACAGCTCCTTAGAGGCTACGTTTGATCCACTTACTCACATTGTTGCATGGGATCAGCCTAGGTCAGAAGATGGGGAAGAGGTCTCTGTAGGGTCACACTGAGGCAAGAAGACCCAGACCAGCTCCAGGTCTTCACTTGGCTATTCTGGAGCAGGTGTCAGAGGACAGGCAATCGCTGTGGTATGACTGGCCAGAAAAGCCTGTCAGCAGGAAGGGTGATGAGGAAGTGGATCCTGTCAGGACCTAGGCCTGCCAGGGGGCCAAGGGGATAAGAAAAGAGCCAGGGTATTTGGAATGATGACCAGAACTTGGCATGAGAAAAAGTGAAAGGCAGGGCTCCTGACATGTGGACCAAGTAAAATTGTCCTTGGGGCCTGGCCTAGGCATTGGAAGTGAGCAGCCTGAATGTCTGCCTGTTCATTGATAGCACCTGCCTCAACGCCTCCCAGAATGTCTCCAGACATTGCCAAGTGTGCCCAGGGAAGTATGTGATGCAGGGTGGCCCCATCTGAGATGTCCTGGTCCATGTGGAGAGGAAAGGAACAAGCCCTTCTCCAGGGCTAGGCTCTGTTAAATAGGAGTATGGGTTATTGATTACCGTCCCAGTGGTAAAGGCAGCTTAGGCAGCCAGGGTGGTTCCTTTTAAGGAAGTCCTCTTACTCAGAAGAGTGTTCGGGAATCCTCTTCAATACTGCCGCTGAGACAACTTTTACTGAAGCATCCAAATAGAAGAAATGATGGAAGCTCCTAGAATCCTTGGGAAAGGGTTTTACGTCTCTTTATTAGTATGACTTCAACCCATCCTGCAGCTTTGGCTCCCACCTTTCACTTGAGGACAACTGTCTTCAGAGCTAGTATGGGTTCCTCCATGCCAGAGTCAACCTATTTCACTCAGTGTTCACAGATGGGCATACCTTTTAACACAGGTCAGACTGTGTGACAGACTTACAGTTCTACCTTATCCCCTACACCCACACCAGTCACTGATGTCTGGGCATCCCCCAAACCATGCCTGTAAACGCCTGGAGACTGTGGTGTGAGCTCTGGGGGACATTTGCCCAGAGCATCCTGGAGCAGCAGGACTTGATCCGTTCTGGATTCTCTGCTGGGGTCAGGGCTAATATTGAATAGACTACTGAGAGTCCATGGGAAAGGGCTGGTGAACCTTGAGTTTACTCTAGCAGGCTGGACCAGCCACACATCTCCATCTCTGAGCTACATTTGCTCCTCTCTCCAGAAACCTCCCCATCAGACCCTTCAGCAAACACACCCAGCTCCTACCCCACCCTCAGCGAAGTGTTTGGCAGGAAGAGGAAGAAACGGACCAGCATCGAGACCAACATCCGACTGACACTGGAGAAGCGATTTCAAGATGTGAGCAGCCTCCTCTGGGGGAGGGGCCAGCTTGTGCAGGCGGGTGAGCGGGTACCACATGTGCAGGAAGCTGGGATCATGGCAAGACCCTACGCATTACTCCACCACTCCCTACCTGTCTGGGAGGAAGCCAAGTCACCCTTCCACTCTAGGAGCCCAGAAATGCTGACTTTCTTCCAGAGTTCCAGAAAACTCCTCTCCTCCTTCTCTGACATATATTTGGGGCTCATTGTCTCTCTCCCTGGAAGATTCAAGAATGAATACAACATTCCAGTAGGGCTTGTGTTTCTGTATATGTTTGAAGTAACAGGAGAAAGCCAGGGCATTATGTAAAAGTTTCCGTCTCTTTTGAAGCAAATTTTGCTTCCAACTTAAAAGTATAATAAAGGGCTGACAAGATGGCTTAGTGGGGGAAAAGGTGCTTGTAGCCAAGCCTGATGACCTGAGTTCAGTCCCTAGAATCCACATGGTAGAAGGAGAGTACCAGTTCCTGCAAGTTGCCCTCTGACCTCCACCTACCTTTGCCATAGCATATGCCTCTACCCCTAAATAAATAAACATTAAAAATTTTAAGTTATTTTTAAATTTTTACTTATTATGTATACAGTGTTTTGTATGCATATATCCCTGCAGGCCAGAAGAGGGCACCAGATCTCATTACAGATGGTTTTGAGCCCTCCCTCATGTGGTTACTGGGAATTGAACTCAGGACCTCTGGAAGACCAGCTAGTGTTCTTAGCCACTGAGCCATCTCTCCAGACCCTTTGGAAAGTTTTTTTTTTTAACTTAAAAAATAATAAAGTAAATGCTCATTGTCAACAATTTGGAAAACACAGGGAGAAAGGAAAGACAGACTGTTTGTTGCCTTTTGTTTTTGTTTTGCCTCTTGTTGTCTGTCTGGTCTTTGTTTTTTAAAGATATGGTCTCACACTGGAGCTTACCCAGGCTGACCTGTATGTAACACTATGTAGCTCAGGCTGACCTCCAATTCATGGCAATCTTCCTTGCGCCCCCTGCCCCCCAAGTGTTAGCATTATAGGCATATGCCGCCTCTCAGTTTCCAGCACCTTCTGAAAGCAGTTGCTAGTGTTACTTTTCAGGCACATTTTAGAGACACTTGTGATTACACTGCACAAGTCTCTCTTTTTTTTTTTTTTTTTTTTTTCTTGGTTTTTTGAGACAGGGTTTCTCTGTAGCTTTGGAGACTGTCCTGGAACTCACTTTGTAGACCAGGCTGGCCTCGAACTCACAGAGATCCGCCTGCCTCTGCCTCCCGAGTGCTGGGATTAAAGGCGTACGCCACCAACGCCCGGCTTTTTTCTTCTTCTTTTTTTTTTTTTTTGACACAAGTCTCTTTTTTCCCTACCAATGAAAATGTTTTATTTCTCGCAGTTATTTTTAAAACATGCATTCATATATTTTTAATGAAAAGTTTTCAAATCTTTCCATATTTTAAATTAGATAGTCTAGCCATAGACTCTAAGCAAACATTCTCAAGGGTAGCAAAAGCATATATTTGAGGCAGTGTGTGCAAGCTGTGAGCCTCGTGGGAGCTGGGGGGGTGAGAAGAGGGAGATGCAGGTGACTACAGAGAACCCCTACAGGGAACCCTCAGGTAGCAGCCCCTAGAGCCTCCCTGGATACCAAAAACTACTCGATCCAGCCTTGTAGGTCCTGGTTGCTCGGATCCTGGAGCAGATTGCCCCCTGAGTCTGGCTCAGGGACTCTATGGCTGCAGGATGGCTGGAGTAGATTCCATCATTTCAGGTTTCTTAGAACAGTGTTGTTAAAGGAGGGTGAAGCGCGAGGAAAAGGGGGCTCAAGTCACAGGCTAGGTGGCAAGTCAGCAGGTCAGAGTGATAATAGTCATATGGCCTGCAGCTGTCCAACAGACTTGGTAGGTCTGAGCGTCCCAGCCTCATCATTTTCTAAGAAGAGATGTGAGGGGCGAGGCTATGAGGAAGGATTTAGAGGGGAGGGAATATTTTCCCCAAGGAGTCCACCTGCCCTCCATGATTCACCTGTGGAGGCCTTGCAGTGAAACTACTACCAAGGGAAGGAGGACAGCAAGGGGCCAACCTTTTGTATCCTCTCATCTATTCTAGCCCTGTGCTTGAGGGGTACACATGCTTTCTCTCGTAACCCTTACGCAAATCCCATGTGCTAGGCAGAATCCCATGTGCTAGGCAGGCCGTCTGACTTCATACATGGGAAGGCTGGGGCTCAGAGGCAAAGGGAATTCCCAAGGACTCTCAGTACATAGGTGATAAAGTCAGTATTCCACCCTTGATCTGACTCTGAGGCATTTTACTCATATATTCAATTCTTTGCATTTGGAACATCTGACTCTCACCTCCAATTTCTGAATCTGTTTCTGTCTCCTGACCACACCCTATCCCTTCCTCCCTGTAGAACCCTAAACCCAGCTCAGAAGAGATCTCCATGATTGCAGAGCAGTTGTCCATGGAGAAGGAGGTGGTAAGGGTCTGGTTCTGCAATCGACGGCAAAAGGAGAAGCGAATCAACTGCCCTGTGGCCACACCCATCAAGCCACCCATCTACAACTCCCGGCTGGTAAGTAGCTTGGAGCCAGGTTGACTGCCAAACACTTGGGGGACATGTATGTGGAGGCCAAGAGCCTTCCATACTACAACATAGTAGGTAGTGGGTAGGGGAGATTTGGTGCATGAATAAACAAATGGATACAGCATATAAAATATGCATAATATAAAGAAGATTAAGGATGGGTGGAAGCCGGTGCTGTTGGGATGGCTCAACCACTAAAAGGTGCTTGCTGCCCAAGCTGATGACTCAGTTTCCATCCTTGGGACCCCCTGGTGGAAGGAGACAACCGGTTCCCAGTTGACCTCTGACCTCTCACACATGTTCTGTGCCACTCACATACCCACACATGTGTGTAAAATGAATAAAGTGCAATATAATTTGTAAAACAATATCCACAAAGTGATTGGGGTGTTTTCATCTTTTTAACAGGAAGGTTAGAGGAGCCCTGCCTGATTAGACGATATTTGAATGAGAATCTAAACTTTGTAAGGGGATGAAATAAGTGTTTATCTAGGGGAAAAAGCATTCAAGGTGGAGGGACTTATGCAAAAGGGCAAAAGGCAGATGAATTCAGAGACGTAGCAGAAAGTAGATTCCCCAAAGTCTTGGAGTTCAGTGAGGGGGCCCAGGACTTTGGTTGACTAGAATAGAAAGTGTTGGGAAAGCCTAGATGTGTAAGTTTGAGCTAGTTGACGTGGGCTGCTGGGTAGGAAGCAGGAAACCAGCTAGAAGACAGCCATTAGGCTGAGTGGAGGAGGTTTGGAAGGTAGAAGTCATGGTGATTGGAGTAAATGGCTGGATCCTGTATATTCCTCAGCTGTGAAGCCAATAAGGCATGCTAATAGATCAGATTCAAACAGCAGAGCAGCAGACTGGAAATCACTGCTATGTTTTTCCAAGGCTGCTTTGTTAGTTTTGTTTGTTTTATGGTACAGAGTTGCATGTAGCCCAGGCCAGGCTTGAGCTCACTAAGTAACCAAGGATGACCTCTATCTCATGGGTGCTGGGTTTATAGGTATGCACCACCACACCTGGTTTTTCTGGTGCTAGATATGGAACCTAGGACTTTCTGCATGCTAGGCAAACATGCTACCAACTGAGCTACCTGAGTACTAGATACACGTTGTTGGCACCGCCCTTTTAAAAAATTTTGAGTTGGCACACACCTTTAATCCCAGCATTTGGAAGGCAAAGGCAGGCAGATCTCTGTCAGTTTCAGACCAACCTGCCATACATAGCAAGTTCCAGGATAGCCAGGACTATCTAGAAAGACCCTGTCTCCAAATAATAATGGTAATGGTAATAATGATGATGATGATAATAATAATAATAATGATAATAATACATTTGGAAGACTGAATGAAGAATAGACTTGAGAGACAATGACAGTTGAGAATCTGAAACCAGTCATATTAAATTTGGTGTGCTTCCTAGGCACCCAAGAAGCAGTACCTAGTTGGGGTTAAGGCTCAGTCTCTGGTGTTCCAGGGAAAAACCAAGGCTGAGAATAACTTGAAGTTCTAGGGAGACACAGATGATTGGGAATTAGAGAGTGTCTGCTCCGTATGGGACGAGATGGGATCTGGTTAGCAATATAGAATTCTCTATCTTTGGGAACAGTGGTGATAGAAGGGTAGAGGAGTTGGAGAGAATGGTGTCCTCTAGTCTTCCAGCACTCCAGGGTGGTTGCAGGCTGGGTAAGACCTAGCAGCTACATAAAAACTACCACAATGTTGATTCCTCCCTCCCCTGCCCCCATATACCCACAGATCAGCTATGTTAGTCTTTGTGCCAGGTTCTGAAGATAGACGCCATTTATCCCCAGTCCAAGGGGACCTCATTGTCTAGCAGAGGATACACACAAGTAAACAAGAGATAAACAACAGGATCATTTCTCTAAGCGACCTGAGGACAGCAGCTGACACACCTTGGGGAGGGTGGCTAGGAAGGCTTCCCCAAGGAGGTCATTAGCACCTGAGTTGAGTTTAGGAGAGGGGGGTAGGTGGGAGGTGGAGCTGCCTCCAGGGGAAGTGTGAGGGCAGGAGGTGGGGAAGAATATACCGTACGTTCATGGGACTCACTCCGAGGGTTCCGTGTAGAGGAATGCTGCAAAGTGAGGCTGAACTGGTCATGGGGCCGGTGATCGAGGAGAGGGTCACGAGATAAACCAGGGTGAGGGTTGTAGTTTAGTTGGTAGAGTGCTTTCCTGCTATGCATGAAACCCTGGGTAACATCCTCAGTTACAAATACAGGACCAACTTGAGCTACATGAGGCCCCACCTCCAAAACAAACAAAAATATAAACAAAGGGGCTCAGTCAATAAATTCAAAGCTGGCTTGGGGCAGGGACAGGGGTAGAAGGGGAATCCTTGGGATGACTCAAAGTGTTCAGGCTGGGCTGGTTGGGTAGATGGTAGCAGTATGTGTGGACCAAGCAAACAGGATAAGCTGGTTTTGGAGTGGGAAAAGGTAGTATTCCAGTTCTTTGCATCATCATGATGTAGGCTCTGCAGGACACTTAAGTGGGACTGGCCTAGAGGCTTGGAACAATAGATACGGAGATCAGGAGAGAAGCTGGGGTGGAGACATGGATTGGGGTTATCACAAGAACACAGGTGGCAGTTGAAAGCCCTAGGTGAGAAGAAGCTCCATTATGGAATTTATATGAAGTAAAGAAAAAGGTTCACTCCACACCTTGGTGACATCAGCCATGCAAAAGCAAGAGGATCAAGGGCAGAAACAGAGAAGGAGGAGCCTGAGAATGCAAGAAATAAAACCAAGTATGTGTGAGAGGTCTAGCCTGGCAAGTCCCACAGGAGCATTGTGGGATTGCAGATAAAAGACACTCAAGTCACTAGGCAACTTTAATCCTAGCACTTGGGAGACAGAGGCAGGTGGATCTCAGAGTTTGAGGTCAGCCTGGTCTACAGAGTGAGTTCCAGGACACAAGGTTACACAGAGAAGCCCTGTCTCAAAATTAAAACAAGCAAAACACTCAAGTCGGCGTGGCAGCCATGAGTGAGGAGCCCATGATTTGCTTGAAGAACAATCTGTCGTAGCAAGAGTAGTTCAGTAGGCAGAAAGAACAGCCTTCAAGAAGGCAATGCTGCTAAAGAACCATAGGCTGGGGTTGGGGAGATGCTTCAGCAGTTAACAGTACTAGCTGTCTCCCAGAGGAATCCAGGTTCGATTCTCAGCACCTACATGGCAGCTCACTCACAACTGTTCAGGGGATCCTATGCTGTTTTCTAACCTCTGCAGGCACACAGACATACATGAAGACAAAAATACCCATACACATAAAATAAAATTTAAAAATCTCAAAAAAAATCATTTCTAGATAGTAATGACCATATCATGCCTGGAAGACAGAGTTCCACATCAGATGTCATGTAGGAAGAAGATGGGACTGGTTAGGATGATCCTGTCTTTTCCTCAGGTCTTGATGGAATGAAAACTGGTATCTTTTGTTTCTGATACGAAGCAATCCCAAGATGACTAAGTTAGAAAAATAAATTAATAGGAGCTGGAGAGATGGTTCAGTGGTTAAGAGTTCATACTGCTCTTGCAGAGGACCTCAATTGAGTTTCCAAGACCCACCTGTGCTCACATCTACCAGCTCCAGGATATCTTATGCCCTCTTCTGGCCTCCATGGGCACTGCAGTCACATGCACCACTCCCACAGACACCAACACATACACACATAATTAAAAGCCTCCAAAACAATACAGAGAAACCCTGTCTCGTGAAACCAAAAAATAAATAAATAAAATAAAATAAAAATAAAAATTTAAAGGGAGTTAGGAGATGTATGTAGCTCAATGCTATATATATATGGTCCTGGCTTAGCAAGCATAAGAACATGGACTCAGTCCCCAGCAAAACACACACACACACACACACACACACACACACACACACACACACACACACACACACAGAAGCATGATTGCACAGGTCATCTTGGCACCATTTTGCTACCATATGTTTAAAAAATTTTAAAGTAAGGAACTATATATGTGTTTGTTTGCATATGCATAGCCTTTAGCTGGATGGCGCTAAGCACAGTGACTGCACACACTATTATTTATTTGAAAACAACAGATTTCTTGGGTGTGGCATCTGGGAGGGGAGGAGAGGAGATGACTGATAATATCTCTCATCGCTCTGCCACACCTCCCAAACTGCCCCACACCTGCCTCTACTCCTCGAGGCCCTGCTCATTGTAAAACAGAAGGGTAAGTAGAAACATCAAGAAGGATTTCTGATTAATTAGGAAATGAGAGCATGCTACTTCCTGTTGAGGGGACTGTTCCAGGGTAGGGGAGGATGGTAGCAGATGGCAGGTCCCCAAGTGGAGCCTCTACATCAGTATCCTACGGGAATGCTGGTCAGAGCTTCCTGGTCAACATGAGAAAAGAAAAAGGAGTAAGAGTATGCAGATCTCAGCTCAAAGGCGGAGCTAAGAAAGCTAGAGATAAACAGTAGTCTTTGGGGAGCAAGGGAAGCAACATTTAACAAGCTGGTGCTCTTTGCCAGCCACAGGGTTGGAAGCTTTATAGACATTATCTCATTAAATCTTAATTAAAAGAAATATCAGGGAGGTGCTGCTGCTGTTTCAGATGTGAAAATCAAGCCTCCCTGAGGTTGATAGCTTACTCATAGTCATGCAGATGGTGGGTGACAGGGCCAGGTCTCACACCCAGATCTGTCCACTCCTTATTTCATGTTCTAGGATAATCATAGTGAAGGGCAGGTTCCCAAACTGGGAGGTTAAACTTGTGTGTGTGTGTAGGCCAGTGATCGCCTCCTCCTCCTCCTCCTCCTCCTCCTCCTCCTCCTCCTCCTCCTCCTACTCCTCCTTCTCCTCCTTCTCCTCCTCCTCTTCCTTCTCCTCCTCCTCCTCCTTCTCCTCCTCCTCCTCCTCCTCCTCCTCCTTCTTCTTCTGCTCATCCTCCTTCTTCTGCTGCTCCTCCTCCTCCTCCCCCTCCCTTCCCCTTCCCCCTCCCTCTCCCCCTCCTCCTCCTCCTTCTCCTTTTTTTGGACAGGTCTTGCTATGCATCCCTCGTTGACCCAAAACTCACAGCAGTCCCCTTGCCTCAGACTCCTAGGTGCTAAGATTATAGACATGTAAAGGAGAAACGGAGCAGACAGCTGACAACATCTGCCAGAGCAAAAGTCTCAAAGGCAGCCAGGCGGTGGTAGCGCACACCTTTAATCCCAGCACTCCGGAGGCAGAGGCAGGAGGATCCCTGTGAGTTCGAGACCAGCCTGGTCTACAAGAGCTAGTTCCAGGACAGCCTCCAAAGCCACAGAGAAAACCTGTCTCATAAAACAAAACAAAACAAAATAAAAGCCTCAAAGGCTTGCTCCTCTCTCCTCCAGGGCACTGGGACAAACCTTCAGCCTGGCAGTACCAGAGGAACTTTGCCAGGGGCCCCAGCAGGAGGGGGAGTGGTATGTGTCAGCATCAGGGAGCTTCCCGCAGCAGGCTGGAAGTGGGTCCTGATGGCTGTATGTAGTCCACAGGTCTTCCTATGAAGCACAAGGTGAAAATTATGGAGTGGGGAGGCCCTCAAGGAAGGCAAATGGCTCTCTGCAGCCTTTCTCCCAACGTCCTGGCAGAAGGAAGAAGGCTGCAGCATGGACATTCACAAGTCTCTGCAGCATGGACATTCACAAGCCTCTCTTGCCTTTCAGGTCTCTCCCTCAGGGTCTCTGGGAGCCCTCTCTGTCCCTCCTGTCCATAGCACCATGCCTGGAACAGGTGAGCTTCAAAAGAAGTTTCCAGACACCACAAGGATTATCTAAATAACATTAAAACTGAAAGGACGCCAGCGTGGTGGCACACATGTTTAATGGTAGCACTTGGAAGACAGAGGCAGGTGTGAGGCCAGCCTGGTCTGCAGAACAAGTTCCAGGACAGCCAGAGCTACCTAGAGAAACCCTGTTTCAGACAAAACAAAACAACATAAAACAAACAAACAAAAAAAAAACCTAAAAAGCACTTACTTAAGCTAGGTCAGCATTTGCTCAGTATGTCTCAAAGGACACTAAAAATCCAGGCTGGGAGAACAGGACTCTGATCATTTAAGTTTGGAAAACGTTGGTAGGCAAAGTTTCAACAAATGTTTGTTTTTATTTTAATTGTAGCATGGCTCAACACTCAAGGGTATAATACATCCCAAAATGAATTGTACGGAAAACCAGAGGAAGACAGGTTTCCACACACATTTGCAGGGTTCTGTTTTCCCAAAGCACCTGTAGCATTTCAGAGAACTAGAAAAGGCTGTGTCCAGCTGTCTTCTAGAAGCCTCAAATACTGACATAAAGCTCAGCATGTTCTACTTTGTTTTTTAAAGCTTGGTTTGACTAGTAAAATGCATAGCACTCTGTCCATGAAACACATGTTGGGATTCCAGATATGAGCAATATCTGTTTAGTCCAAACCCACCATTTTACAGAGGATGAGAATGAGTTTCAAGGTGGGTCAGGGCAGGCCCAGGGCCAACATGAGGCTTGGGTCCCCTTCAATGGAGTGCATTTTCATTGTGGAGTCAGAGAGTGGGAAAGTCTGGCAGTCTCTCTGCTCTCTGCCTTGCTTTCTCCCCATGCCTCTTCTCCCCTCCCGCCCAGGGTGTGTCCCACAGTAGGATGATTTTGGCATCTGTCCTCCATGCATTTGGCAAGTCTTGGACTGACAGAACCAGCCACACTGCTCTGAGGGCCTGGGCTGCAGAGAGCCCCACCAAGGATGGGCTGATGGGTGGGCTTTGATGTTAACATGGTAGAAAGCAGGCAGATAGGAGGGGGTAGGGAGAGGGTAAGTGCCCTTTGGGGTATTAACCAGGAAATTATGTGTTGGAAGGGCCATGTCACAAAGGTCCCCAGACCCAGCAGCATTATTTTGCCTTGTTTTTGTCTCTCTTTGTCCTTAGTAACGTCATCCTGTTCCCCTGGGAACAACAGCAGGCCTTCGTCTCCTGGCTCAGGACTCCATGCCAGCAGCCCCACAGCATCTCAAAATAACTCCAAAGCAGCAATGAACTCCTCCTCCAGCTTTAACTCCTCAGGGTAAGTGGACGGCCGTGAGGAAGCATCTGGCAGTCTCAGGGGCATTAGAGGAGTTGGTCCAGTGCCATAGACAAGAACTGGAAATGGGAAACGGTGTAGCAGAGGGGATGGGATGGAGGAGGGAGGACAGAGCTAGACTGGACTACATCCCCGGGGAGCAAGGATTTAAAAAGAAGCTGTAGCCTGTGAGCAGTCCTGGCAGAGGATGATGTCAACAAGGCCAACATTTCCATCCTCACTTTGATAGTGGAAATTTCCAAATGCTCACGTGAGAAAGGACCAGGTCCAGAGCTGGGCTCAGGAGCACTCCACACCAGGAACTTGAGTCACGGGATATTCTGACCAGAGCCTGGAGCTCAGGCAGAGAGCAACTCTGGCCCTCAGGTGTGGCTGGCACAGAGAGACAGAAATGTGCTACCAAGCTGTGTCTCCTAGTTCTGTTTGGAAGGCCGCAGGTCAGGCCCTTGCTCACAGGCCTTAGCTCACAAGTTGAATAAACTCCTGGAAAGGTACTCTTAGAATGGATGTCTTGAGAATCTTCCCTGGTACAGAGGAAGACAGATCTGAAGTAGGGGTGAGGGTGGGGCCGGGGAGACGGTTCCTTTGGTGAAGTGCTTGCCTGGAAAGCATGAGGACTGAGTCTGACCTACAGAAGGACATAAAAAAGTCGTGTGTGACCGTGTGTGCTAGGGTGGAAGTAAGGAAAGACTCCTTTGACCTCCTGGCCAATGAGAGAACTCGTCTCTAAGGAGGTGGGTGGCATTCCTGGGGACAACACCCGAGGTTGTCCTATGGCCTCCATATGTTTGCACACAGATGCCTGTATATAGATTTTGTTTGGGGGGGGGTCGAGGCAGGGTTTCTCTGTGGCTTTGGAGGCTGTCCTGGAACTAGCTCTTATAGACCAGGCTGGTCTGGAACTCACAGAGATCTGCCTTCCTCTGCCTCCTGAGTGCTGGGATTAAAGGCGTGCGCCACCACCAACTGGCTCAATGAGACCCTATCTTAAACACACAAACCAAGTTGAGTTACACACTTGAGCTTTACAGGAAGAGATGAATCCTCTTGTCCAAATCCAGGTAGTTCAGCAATGTTGTCTAGATGTTTCATAGTCTAGGAAGTCAGAATTTCTGAGGTTGAGGTGACCCAAATAATATTAGTAGTTTAGTATTGGAGACATGATTCATATGCCATAGAATTTACAAGGCTGTACAACCATCACTTTATCTAATGCCAGAGTGGTTTCATCACCCCTTAAGGACCTCTCTGCCTGCCTGTTGTCACCTCCCTATTCCTAGTCTTCCCCATGAGGTTTATAACTCCAGCTTGGCCTGTTTTTCTCTTCCTTCCAGACCATGGTACCGTTGGAACCATCCCACCTACCTCCACTGAGACCAAAAACTTCCTCCCATTCCACCTGGCCCTTTGTTCCCACTTGGACAAAGGGGGTCATGCCCTCCATGAATGGACAGACTACTTGGGGACAGGTGGGAGAACGGCCACTGCTGAAGAGCAAGCCCACATTCTTGCCTTCCCAGGGATCCAGAGACTCTGGAGAACCAAACTGTGACTGAAGGCCATACTGATGCCTTCCTGAAGGCCACATGGATGCCTTGGGCTCTTGATAATCCTGCTGGGAGTTCACCGTGCTCACCTGCCTTATCTATAGCCACTTCCCTGCCCTAACGTTTTCAATGGCTTTACTGTGGCTTCATCTCTCAGAGGAAGGGCATCGTGCCATTGTTATTCCTCAGCTGGTCTGTGGGCTTCTGGGGAGAGCCATTTGATCAGTGTGCCAAACTGCAAGGATGGTAGATCATGGTTTGGTCTCTACCCTCAGCCCAAATTCTGAACAGATCCCAAATTCTGTGCAAAGACTGAAATCTCATGTCTCCATCAAAGCCTTATTCTGTTTAATTAGCACAGTTTTCATTTTTGCCTCATTTTCTTTTAACCCTCCCTTCCTTTTCTATAATCAAACCCTTCTATTCTGTGCCCTGCAAAGTCCCTTCCTCTCTATAAATGGCAGAGCTACCTTCTGGCCATGTTTTCCCATCTACAGGTACTCTCCCAATGCCCACATCTCCCTGAGTTCAAGAACACTTGCCTTTCTTTGCTCCCCATGTTTCTCCTTGTCTTGCCCCTCTCCTTTCTCCTGACCCCAGAAAATTGTGGAAGCAACGGGAGAGGGAGGGAGGGTGAAGGAGAGAAAGAGAGGAAGCCACACCCGAGGCACTGGCCACACTCTTGTACATAGTCGTTTCCTGTTCTACTCTATGACCTTTCCTCTTGAATGTGTAATTTTCCAGCAAAATGTCTAACTCAGGTGTGAATTTTGATAATGTCTGTGTAATATTTTATCCTCTATTAGAAAGAGGGGGACACCAAAGTGTGGAATACTACAGAGTTCCCACATGAGCTGGGGCTCTGCTGACTTTGAGGGGAACATTCTATGTGGAGTCTGCTTCTTTGGGCCTGTGTGTAAAACTGTCACATGAAGCCATCCCAGAAACAGTAACTTTTTTTTGTTTTGTTTTTCAAGACAGGGTTTCTCTGTGGCTTTGGAGGCTGTCCTGGAACTAGCTCTTGTAGACCAGGTTGGTCTCAAACTCACAAAGATCCTCTTGCCTTTGTCTCCTGAGTGCTGGGATTAAAGGCATGAGCCTCCAACGCCCTGCCCTGTAACTTTTTTTTTCAAAGACTGAATATCCAGGAAACTGTTGAGACTCAAGGGAATCTCTGTTTCTAAATATATTTGTATAGCAATGACATAAACTATTCCACTGTTAATAAGAAGCGGGTCAGAGGAGTGCTTCATGCCTTTTGTGTGTGTGTGTGAGGTAAAATGTGAGTACAGATAATGGAAAAGGGATGGGGTAAAATAGTTCCTTTTGGAACATGAAGTGGGTACTGGGGATGGCCTGTATTTATACCGGGTCCCAAATTGCTCAAGGACAGAACTACTTTGGGATCTGAGTGAGAGATTGTTCCCCAAAAAACTTCCTCCCATTCCACCTGGCCCTTTGTTCCCACTTGGACAAAGGGGGTCATGCCCTCCATGAATGGACAGACTTTATAAGAGAGGAGTATGGTGAATATTTTAGGTCATATCACTTGAAGACTTAGGAGGTAGAACCAAAGCTGATCTATCTCATGTATCCTAAATATTGACTATTCTGCTGTCATGATATACAATGGAAGGCAAAAGTTGTTTAACACAGAGGACAATTTCATGACAACATATATTGGCTTGAGAAGACATCTCGACAAAGTCAGAACATTGAAGGATAAGCTTATTGAGCTTTTTATTAGGTTAATTTTTGTTAGTGATAGGAATTTTTTATTATTGTTTTTTGGTTTTGAGGTAGGATCACATTCTGTAGCCCAGGCTGGCCTCAAGCTCATTATTTAGCCAGGTTGACCTTAAACTCATTGTAATCCTCCTGCCTCAACTTTCTAAGTGCTGGGGATCATGGGCCTGGAAGGCACCACAGTCAGTCACCCAGCTTAATAAAAATTTAAGTAGTTGCAATTCTTAAACACTGACCAGTGGGGAAAAAGGCCCTTTGGAGTTACAGTTGACGAGGAGAAACGATGATGGGGATTTGTAGCCATGATCAAAATGCCTGATAGAACAACTTGAGGCAGGAAAGATTTCTTTTAGCTTATGGTTTCAGAGGTGTCTATCATAGCTGGAAGGACATGGTAGAGGGAAGTAATTCTCAACATGGCAGAGAGGAAACAATAAAAGGTTTTCAGGAAGGACCCATGGCTAGATAGCCTCAAAGACCTTCCCCTAAGGAGGCCTCACCTACCACTAATGCCATCACATTATGAATCCATCAGGAGGTTATTGCATTCCTTAGGCCACAGCCCTCATGGCCTTATCTGGAAACAGCACTGTAGACAGGATTGTGCCTTGCCAATGTTCCAGGTGTCTCAAAACCCAGACAACTTTCAAGTCAAAATTAGCCATCTCAGGATCTAACATTTGTTGCAAGTAATAATATCCACATGGGAAACCTATACACAAAACATCAAGGATCTTTTGTGCCTTGATGTAGATAAAATGTGAGCTGAGAACACTAGTGTGTACCTGCTGGCTTCACCAGACATAGGAGGCTGAGGTGCCAGGGTTGCTTGAGTCTAGGAGTTCTAGGCTAGCCTTTGCAGCATAGTGAGGCCCAGTTTCAAAAACAAAGTGCATTTAGGAAGCTAGATATGTAGCCAAGAGACGGCAGAAGGAGTCTGCAGCAGTGACTGCACTTAAGTGTCCAAAGAAAGTAGGCTGCCATGCACATCCGCACGTGTCCTGACATCGAGATAACCCTTTCCTGCTCCAACACTGCCCACCTTGACATCCTGCCCAGGTAGGTATTGAAAACAATCTCTGGCACCATCCAAAAGTCTGGTTTTTACCCACTGATCCACATTTTGTTTTAAAAAATAGAATGTTCGTGGCACACTTGGGAGGAAAATGCAGGTGGGTTGCTGTGAGTTAAAGGCTAGTTTGGTCTATGTGGTGAGTTCCATGCCAGTCAGTGTTACAAAGAGAGACCATCTGAAATAAACAAAAATAAGCAGAAGGGTAGCCTTCGGGTTTGGCCTCTAGTAGCTCCCACTGCCCATTGACTGGGACATTTGCTGAGTATAATCAAATTTACAGGTGGGCTTGGACTCGGCTTTCATATCTGCAGGACGCTGAAGAATTCATAATTCCAAAGAAGTTTAATAGAAGTTTGTTTCAGCTGCTTCGCCATCTATGCACATCTAAGAGAGAAGCACCTAAGAGCAACACTAGCCGATGTGGAAGGGTAAACAAAGGAAAATATTGAGTCTGTTGCTTATTTCATACTGTTGTTCTGTCAGTTTATTTACAGTAGGGTCTTGCCTTTAGCTGGCCTGGTACTCCAATGTAGCTCAGACTCTGTCCGGTCTTTTGTTTGTTGAACCCCTTGTGGCACAGGTTAGCCTGAAATTCACTATGCAGATCAAGATGATCCCAAGCAACTAACCTTTCTGTCTCTGCTTCTCAAGTACTGGGCTTACAGGCCTGCACCACTATGCCCAACTTCTAAGGCAAAGTAAGAACTTTGGGTCCAATTCAGGGGGATTTCAGTCTGGGAACCTGCCTCTGACTCCCAAGTGTCTGGTCACAGGACCATCTGGCATATCTCTGAGACTCCTCTGTCCCTCTGGATTGTTTTATTTTCTTGTCTCTTATGGCTAGTATTGTTACTTGCACATATTAGGGCATTTAAGAGGTTTAATCCCAGGCATGGCGGTACATTCCTGTAAACACAACACTCAGGAGGCTGAGGCAGGAGGAATCAGAAGTTCCGAGCTAGCCTTGGCTACAACAGTGAGCTCAAAGCAAGCCTGGACTAGAATGTCACCTTGTCTCAAACACTGCTGCACATTTTAAAACAATGTAATTCTTTTTTTTCTCTATGAATTAGAGGTTTGTAAATTTTTTCTACTCACAACCCCTTTTCAGGAGAGAAATTCTTACAAGACACCTGCATTTTATGTCTGACATTTACTGGTAGAAAAATCCCCAAACACAACCTAATTTTGGCTGTGGGTCTGCATCTGCCTCTATCAGTTGCTGGATGAAGTCTCCCTGATGACAATTGGGTTAGGCACCAATCTACGCGTGTAGTAGAATATTGTTAGGCATCATTACATTGATACTTTTCTCTCTACAGTTGTGTTTGGTTCTTTTCTAACACATCTCCAATTGCTCTCACACTGATCTTTTTTTATTATTTATTTTTAAGTTTAAATTTAGATTAGAAACAAAGTTGCTTCACAAGTCAGTTCCAGGTCCCTCTCCCTTTCCCTCCCCTCCTCCTGTGCCCTCCCCCCAACCCCCCATTATCCCCTCATTTCCCCAGGGAGGGTGAGGCCCTCCATGGGGGTGTCCATAGTCTGTCATTTCATCCAGGACAGGGCCTAGACTCTCCCCAAGAGTTCAGGGTGAGAGTTCATCTCACATTGTTGGATGGGAGTCCAAAGTCCATGTGTATACTCGGGATGAGTACTGATCTACTGCCCAAGGCTCAATAGATTACCTAGGCCTCCTCACTGGCACCCCCATTCAGGGGGTCTTGATCAGTCCCATGCTGGATTCCCAGGCATCAGCCTGGGATTCCAGAGTTAACCCTTGTCAGGTCAGCTGTTTCTGGGGTTAAACCAGCCCAGTCTTAATCCCTTTGGTCATCAGTCCTCCCTCTCTGTTACTGGCTTTCTTGAGTTCAGCTCAGTGCTTAGCCATGGGAGTCTGCCTCTTCTTCCATCAGCCACTGAATGAAGTTTCTGTTTCCCAGACTTTCTGGCCATGGAATTGTAAGCTGGTACTCCCCAGATCTATGTCTAAAATCCATATATGAGAGAGTACATGCCATGTTTCTCTTTTTGTGACTGTGTTACCTCACTCAGGATGGTTTCTTCTAGTGTCATCCATTTGCCTGCAAATCTCAGGATTCCGTTGTTTTTTTCTGCTGAATAGTACTCCATTGAGTAAATGTACCACATTTTCTCTATCAACTCTTAGGTTGAGGGGCATCTAGGTTGCTTCCAAGTTCTGGCTACTACAAATAATGCTGCTATGAACATAGTGGAACAGACATCCTTGTTGTATGACTGGGCATCTTTTGGATATATGCCTAAGAGTGGAGTTGCTGGGTCTTGTGGTAGGTTTATTCCCATTTTTCTGAGGAATCTCCATACTGCTTTCCAAAGTGGCTGAACAAGTTGGCACTCCCACCAGCAATGGAGGAGTGTTCCCCTTTTACCACATCCTCTCCAGCATAAATTGTCGTTGGTGTTTTTGATTTTAGCCATTCTGACAGGAGTGAGATGGTATCTCAGAGTTGTTTTGATGTTGAGTACTTTCTCAAGTGCCTCTCAACCATTTTAGACTCCTCTATTGAAAATTCTCTATTTAGTTCTGCAGCCCACTTTTTAATTGGATCTTTTGGTGTTTTGGAGACTTGCTTCTTGAGTTTTTTGTAAATTTTGGAGATCAACCCTCTGTCAGATGTGGGGTTAGTGAATATTTTTTCCCATTCTGTGGGCTGCCTTTTTGTCTTGCTGACTGTGTCCTTTGCCTTACAGAAGCTTCTCAGTTTCAGGAGGTCCCATTTATTCATTGTTGACCTCACTGTCTGTGCTAGTGGTGTTATGTTCAGGAAGCTATCTCCTGTACCAATTCGTTCAAGGGTACCACCCACTTTCTCTTCTAAGAGGTTCAGTGTAGCTGGATTTATGTTGAGGTCTTTGATCCATTTGGACTTAAGTTTTGTGCATGGCGATAAACATGGATCGATCTGCATTCTTCTACATGCCTGCCTCCAGTTATGCCAGCACCATTTGTTGAAGATGCTTTCTTTACTCCATTGTATATTTTTAGCTTCTTTGTCAAAGATCAGATGTTCATACGTGTGTGGGTTAATATCAGGGTTTTCAATTCGATTCCATTGGTCTACCTGTCTGTTTTTGTGCCAATACCAAGCTGTTTTCAGGACTATAGCTCTATAATAGAGCTTGAAGTCAGGGATGGTGATGGCTCCGGACGTTGCCTTGTTGAACAGGGTTGTTTTGGCTATCCTGGGTCTTTTGTTTTTCCATACAAAATTGATTATTGTTCTTTCAAGGTTTGTGAAGAATTGTGCTGGGATTTTAATGGGGATTGCATTGAATCTGTAGATTGCTTTTGGCAGGATTGCCATTTTTACTACATTGATCCTACCTATCCAAGAGCATGGGAGATCTTTCCATTTTCTGAGGGCTTCTTTAATTTCTTTCTTTAAAGATTCAAAGTTCTTGCAATACAGGTCTTTCACTTGTTTGGTTAGCATTACCCCACGGTATTTTATGTTGTTTGTGGCAATTGTAAAAGGTGATGTTTCTCTGATTTCTTTCTCAGCCCTTTTATCATCTGTATATAGTAGGGCTACTGATTTTCTTGAGTTGATCTTTTAGCCTGCCACTTTGCTGAAGGTGTTAATCAGCTGTAAGAGTTCCCTGGTAGAGTTCTTTGGGTCATTGATGTAAACTATCATATCGTCTGCAAACAGTGAAAGTTTGACCTCTTCCTTCCCAATTTGTATCCCCTTGGTCCCCTTTTGTTGTTGTATGGCAATGGCTAGAACTTCAAGTACAATGTTGAAAAGGTATGGAGAGAGTGGACAGCCTTGTTTTGTTCCTGATTTAGAGGGATTGCGTTGAGTTTCTGTCCATTTAGTTTGATGTTGGCTGTTGGTTTATTGTATATAACTTTTATTATGTTTAGGTATGTTCCCAGATCTCTCCAAGACCTTTATCATGAAGGGGTGTTAGATTTTGTCAAAGGCTTTTTCAGCATCTAGTAAGATGATCATGTGATTTTTGTTTTTCAGCTTGTTTATATACGGTGGATTACGTTGATGGATTTTCGTATGTTGAACCATCCCTGCATCCCTGGGATGAAACCTACTTGATCGTGGTGAATGATTGTTTTGATGTGTTCTTAGATCCGATTTGCCAGTATTTCATTGAGTATTTTTGCATCAATGTTCATGAGGTATATTGGTCTGAAGTTCTTTCTTAGTTGTGTCTTTGTGTGGCTTGGGGATCAAGGTTATTGAAGCCTCATAGAAGAGTTTGGCAAAGATCCTTCTGCTTCTATTGTGTGGAATACTTTGAGAAGAATTGGTACAAGCTGATCTTTGAATTTCTGGTAGAATTCTGCACTGAGGCCATCTGGACCTGGGCTTTTTTTGATTGAGAGACTTTTGATGACTGCTTCTATTTCCATAGGGGTGATAGGTCTATTTAAATTGCTTATCTGTTCTTGATTTAATTTTGGCAAGTGATAGCTATCCAGGAAGCCGTCCATTTCCTTTAAATTTTTGAATTTTGTGGAGTACAGGTTTTCAAAGTATGACATGATGATTCTCTGAATTTCCTCAGAGTCCGTTGTTATGTCCCCCTTTTCATTTCTGATTTTGTTAATTTGCATGTTCACACTCTGCTGTTTGGTCTCACACTGATCTTAACTGATTTCAGGCAGTAAATCTGGAGCACCTGGAAAGCTACTAGTGACTGATGTCCACACTGATAATTCTACTTCACTTGTTTTGGGGTGTGATTTGGCACACCTATTTAAATGATTCTATTTTGGGATTGTGAATCCCTGCCCAAGGCTTGGATATAGTAACTCAGTAGTAGAATGCTTGCCTATTATGTCCAAGGTCCTGGGTTCAGTTCTCAGTATTGCCAGAAACTCACTGTTAAAATGCATATTCTGTTTAGTATGTCCAGAGTTAGGCTCTGGGGTTGTGGGTGTCTTAATGATATTTTGTTGGTGACCTTTCTCTAGTTCCTAGACCACACATTGAACAGCAAAAGCTGGGGGAGCATAGCATAATTTCCTTGCTCAAAACATCACCGGCCTCCTCTTAGCCACTACAGTGGTTAGATACCTGGAGCTAGCATCAAGACAGCTAAGGTTCGACAGGTAGTGGTGGTGAATGCCTTTAATCCCAGCATTCTGGATGCTGAGGCAGGTGGATCTCTGTGAGTTTGAGGCTAGCATGGTTTACAAAGTGAGTTCCAGGACAGCCAGGGCTGTTACACAGAGAAACCCTGTCTTGAAAACAAACAAAAAGACAGCTAAGGGGTTCTTTGACAGTAGTGGCTCTTAATGTGACTATTATCTAAATGACTACAGGGAGGTTTTTATTATTTTTTATTCTCTCATATATTACAACCTGTCCAGTTTCCCTTCCCTCTCCTCCCCCCACCCAGTCTCCTCCCCCATCTCCCCTCTCCCCCAAATTCATGCTCTCCTCTGTCTCCCCTTAGAAAAGAGCAGGTCTTCCAGGGACATCAATCAAACATGGCACAATATGCTACAATAAGACAGCAAGTCTGGACCAGGCAACCCAGCAGTAGGAAAAGAGTCCCACAGCAGGCAAAAAAGTCAGTGATTACCCCTGCTCCCACAGTTAGGAATCCCGTAAGAACACCAAGATACTCAGCCATAGCATATTTGCAGGAGACCTAGATCAGACCCCTACAGGCTCCCTGAACTCTTCGAGCCCCATGAGTCCCTCTCAATCGATTCTGTGAGCCATGTTTTCTTGGTGTCCCTGACCACTCTGGCTCCTCCTATCCTCCCCCTCCTCCACAGGATCTCCGAGCTGCACCTAATGTTTGACTGCAGGACTCTTTATCTACTTCCATCTGTTGCTGGATGAAGTCTCTCTGGTCTCTTTGATGACAATTCTGCTAGGCTCTGGTCCCAGGACACTCTGAATGAAGGCAGGACAAACTGTAGGTCAGAAGGTTTTGTGGCTAGGTTGGTGTCCCAATCCCCCTCCACATGAAGCCTTGTCCCCCAGGCAGATTTTAAAACACACTCATTCCTGCTCCATATCAGGCCTACTGACTCACAATATTTAAGATGTATATATGTGTTTTGAAATCACTTTCCAAGCAGTGATCAACAAGCATTGGAAAGTCATCTGTGCTGCTTCTAATGTAGTTTCCTATTAATTCAGGTTTCTCTTCCCTTTTAGAGGCTTCCTGTACCCCAAACTGCATTTGCTACATAGCTGAGAGTTCCTGATCTTCCTGCCTCCACCTCCGATATGCTGGGATTACAGGTGCCAGCCATCCCAACTGACTTACTCTTTCATTAATTCAACCAACACTCGTTAAACCTGTCCCATATTAGGTTCTAGGAAAAAAGGTGAAAAGAGTGTCATCTTTGCCTTTGAAGGGTTAACACAATAAAAACCAAAATGAGAGCATTTTCAATTCCTGGACATGGTGCTCCTTAGCATCCCAACATTGTCAGCCTTGATCAACAAGCCAGACTTTCCCTTCCCTACCCCATTATTCTAGTTGACATTCCCCTCCCCTTGCAGTGTGTGTGTGTGTGTGTGTGTGTGTGTGTGTGTGTGTATGTGTGTGTGTGTGTGTGTTTGTTTTAATTCTGGGACAAAATACATAGGCTAGCCTCTTAATTTACAATCCTTCTGCCTCAGCCTCCCAAGTGCTGGGATTACAGGCACACACCTCTACATCACACTCATATTTCTTGAAACTCAAAATCCTCAGACCTGGGGAGAAACAAGAATTTGTCCAAAAATACAACAAAGGCCTGAGAACACAGCTCAGTGGTGGAGCATTTTCCTCTCAAGATTGGGGCCTCTGGTTTAATCCCAGTATTGGGGAAGAAATACTCCAAAGTTAAATAAAGACAATAGATGGTATTTATAGGAACTTCTACGTGCCACCCATCACTCTATGTACTTATTAATGTAGCCTTTTCAATTTTTCACAATAATCTATGAGAAAAGCATTACACTCCCCATTCTGTGATGAGGAAGGAGGCATAGACTTCACGTGCCCAGCTGCATACCAAGCAGAATTAAGGGTTAAAACATATGTGTGTGTGGGTCTGCACGTGTGTGCACACATGGGTGGTGCTACTAAAAGCCAGAAGAGGGCGTAGAATCCTTGGCGCTAGAGTCTGAGGCAGTTGTGAGCTGTCTGACGTGGATGCAGGGAACTGCACTCTAGTCCTGTGTAAGAGCTGCAAAGGCTCTTAACTGTTAAGCCATCTCTCTAGCTCCTTTTAAACCATGTGTTTACACCCAGATAGGGGCAATGCTACAAAGAGAGCAACGCAATTCCCAGGCCTAAGAACTTTTGTGCTTGTCTCACCACTCAGATTCAAGCAGGAGATCAAAGACAGGCTCTTCCGTTACCCATAGGATAGTGTAGGTTGTGGGGTTTACTAGGTGCTCAGTAAATGTTTAGTGAAGAGGCTGTTCCATCTCACAGAGGCGGAGTGGATCAGTAGATTTTTGGAGGCTGAATCCAGGGCCTCACCGTGGAAGGCAAACGTTCTACCACTAAAAAGCCAGTCAGGCACTACATTCACAGCCCCAAAGTGATTTAAACAGACCAACAAAGAAGCAACAGAGCACCCTTCCCTTCCCTGCCCAAAGCAGGACCCTCCCTCGTTGGCCCAGCTTCCACTCTGCGTTCTGTCCTCCCAGCCAGCAGGTGCCCCTAGACCCCCGGCTCCTCCTCCGTTGCCGTCACAGCCTCGGCTCCCCCCTCCCTCCCCCGCAGCTTCCTGTCGCCGCGATCCGGGCCCTGGGCTGTGGGCGCCCGGGCGCCCGAGGCTTCCCGGTGCGCTCGGCCAGGTAACAGCACTCGCCGGCGGCATGGGCATTGGCCTGCTCTTGGAGCAGGCAGGGACGGAGGCGGGCGGGCGGGCGGCCAGGTGCGCTCGGGCTCCTTTGCCCCGGGGCGCCGGAGCCTCTCTGCGCCAAGCTCTGGGCACCCGGCTGGATGCCTAGATAACGGTCCAAGATGGGGCGATCCGGGCTGGACGCCGGGCGTGGCCGAGGCCTTGGGGCACGTCCCCCGGCAGGCTGCAATCTTGCTGCTGGCTCAGAGCCGCGGACTGAGCTCGTCCGAGGCCTGGAGCCAGGCGCCCGCCCAGCGCCGCTGCTCTCCGGGATGGGGGAGCCCGAGCAGCGAGCTGCGAGAGCCTGGGAACCTCCTAGACCCCACACTAGACACGAAGGCTCAAGGTCACAGAGCTGCGTCTGCCGTTTACAAATGCCTGCTTTTTACTGGAGTGTTTGTAAATGGGTTACTGTTTCCTCTGTTGGGCCAGGGAATTAGGATTCAGAGAAGAGGACTCTAAAAATACTAATCGCCGAGTCCCAATCAGCTGATCCGCCTTACTGGCCAGTGACCCTGGCCTTTCAAAGGAAGTAAGAGGGACAGCGCTTTTCACTTGGGTACTTTGTATGTCTGGCCCTTACTCTGAAGATTGGCCTACAAGTTTCAGAAAATGTGCCTTAGAACTGAACTGACCCCCCCTTTTTTTCTTTCTGCCCTTTTTCTGTTCCCTAATTTTAGTTTTAAAACATTCTTCAGGTTAAAGTGATTTTCCCACTTTCAGGGTTGTGATGGACACCTAATTGTTTTCTTGAATGGAAATTTGATTTCTTATGAAAGCTGAGTGAAACTTGCCCTTTGCCCAAGCCCTCTCTGGATAGCATTCCTGGGAGTGGCTCGTGCATTGAGGGGTGTTGGTATGCATTTGTCAGAAAAGGGTGATCGGTTAAAGTGCAGCCATGCAGAGAATTTGCGGAGAGATGGAAATGAGACACGTAGCTGACGTGTTTGGTATTTCCTTTTTTATTTGTCCTTCCTTCCTTCCTTCCTTCCTTCCTTCCTTCCTTCCTTCCTTCCTTCCTCCCTCCCTCCCTTCCTTCCTTTCTTCCTTCTTTCCTTCTTTCCTCCTCCTCCTCCTCCTCTTTTTTTTTTGAGACAGGGTTTCTTTGTAGCATTGGTGCCTGTCTTGGAACTCATGCTATAGACCAGGCTGGCCTCGAAATCACAGAGATCCTGCCACTGCCTCCCCAGTGCTGGAATTTAAGGTGAACACCACCACTGCCTGGCTTTATTTGTACTTTCAACAGAGGAGCTAGTGTATATTAAAAATGACATCTTAGTCCTTTTTGGAGTCTACTTTTGTATGACTAAAGTAACTCAGTGTTGACTATGCTTGTCTAAATGTATCAGCAAAAATTCAAAAATGAAAGTTTTCTGACTTCACTATCTCTACCCTATCTATCCATTCATCCATCCATCCATCCACCTGTCCGTCCATCCGTCCGTCCATCCATCCATCCATCCATCCCATCCATCCATCCATCCACCCATCCATCCATCCATCCATCCATCCATCCACTATTTTGAGACAAGGTATTACTATGTAGCCTTGGCAGGCCTGGAACTCACTGTGTTGACCAGACTGAACTCCTACTCTAGGTGATCCTCCTGCCTCTGCTGCCCCAGTGCTAGAATTATAGACACCCATGAGCTACTTTGTTTCACTTTTAACTGAATAATTTCCTTAAGCATATTTTTGTATCTCAACATTTACTTAAAAAACCTTTTGCTTCCTTGTTGATAAATAATAGAGATGGGATACCTTCCAAGAGGTCTGGACTCTTTGTTTGGCTTTGTATTTACATTTGCCTCAAGTTTTGATTTTGACTGATAAACCAATGACCCAAATCCAGACCTCAGCCAAATTTAGTTTCAGCTTAACTACATTAAAATGCCTGGTATCATGGGACTTCTAGCAGAAACCAAAGTGGTATTTTGTTTATTTACTTTATTATTATTATTAAGAGAGCTTTGCCTCTGTGTGCTGCAGTGTATGTATACACCATACACACACACACACACACACAGAGAGAGAGAGAGAGAGAGAGAGAGAGAGAGAGAGAGAGAGAGAGAGAGAGAGAGAGAGAGAGAGAGAGAGAGAGAGAGAGAGAGAGAGAGAGAGAGAGAGAGAGGCATATGGAGACTAGAGGCCCAACCTCTGGTAATATTCCTCGGTCCCAGTCCACCTTGCTTTTTGAGATAGGGTTTCTCAATAGGAAATCATCTTTTCCATCTCTCCAGCACTAGAATGCACTGTTATGCTTGACTTTTTTATGTGGGTCTGGAACTCAAACATCAGGTTCCCATGTTTACCAACTGAACTGTCCTTGCTCCCATGTCTTTTTGTGTTTGATACTGGGAATTGAACCCAAGGCTTCACACATGAAAGCCCAAGAGCCCTACACACATGAAAGGCAAGTGTTCTACCATTGAGCTATATCCCTAGTCCTTTTTAATTCTGTTCTGAGACACAGCCTCTGTAAATAGCCCAGGCTGGACTTGAACCTGCTGTGTAGATCAAGCTGACTTCAAACTTGACATCCTCCTCACTCAGCCTCCTGAGTAACTGAGATTACAGGCACACGCCACTATGCCTGGGTAGTGTTGGGATTTGTGAAGTGCAAGCACGTTATTGGGTACATGTGCTTGGTTATCTGTGTATCACTATCCAAAGTCAGGGATCTCTGGAAGGTTATTATTGACACTGGGTCGTTCGTTAAGTGTGGAGTTAGTAATAATTCAGAGGGCTGTTGCTGGTTTCCAGGACACAGCTTTCATCAGGTGCTGACACAGTATCTCTAGGGGGATGCAGTCATAAATATAGATGCCACATTTATGTACAAGAGTCTTGGATACGTAGTCAGTAAAGGTCCTGCCTTCATATTATTTTATAGTAGCACTTCGGGCATATGTACAAAATGATCCGCTGCTGTTTTCTTAGGGTACATCCTTTGTTTTCCTGGTTTTGGTCTCTTCTGTCGTAGGATGGCATTAGGTCTGTGTCTGCAGGTGCTGTGCAGCCTGGGTGGCTGGCTCTCACTCTATACATCTTTCTGCCACCTGAATAAGCACCGAAGCTATGAGTGGAGCTGCCGGCTGGTGACCTTCACCCACGGAATCCTCTCTATAGGCCTGTCTGCATATATCGGCTTCATTGATGGCCCTTGGCCTTTTACCCACCCAGGTAGGTAGAAGGGACATTAGAGATTTTTCCTTAGGGATTTATGATTTGGGGGACTTAAAGATAGATTTGTATAATATTGAAGAATTATTTCCATTCTAATAATTTGTATTACAGTCTTCATTGTTAACTTTGATATTGTGTATGTCACCTCCTGGCTTCTGCTTTTCACAACTCTTTTGTGCTATTGGGGTTCTTTCTTTTCTTGCCTTTTTGTGGTGCTGGGGATTGAATCTGGGCTATGAACATGTTAGACACTGGGCTGTGTCCCTGTTCTCTCCTCTATTTTCTCATATACATGTTTTATGTGCATTGGTGTCAGATCTCCTGGAACTGAGTTAGACAGTTATGAGCTTCCATGTGGGGGCTGGTAATTGAACCCGGGTCCTTCTGAAGAGCAGTCAGTGCTCTTAACCACTGAGCCACCTCTCCAGCCCCTGTTGTTGATTTTTTTAAAAGATTTATTTATTTATTATGAATACAACATCCTGCCTCCATGTATGTCTGCACGCCAGAAGAGGGCACCAGATCTCATTATGGATGGTTGTGAGCCACCATGTGGTTGCTGGGAATTGAACTCAGGACCTCTGGAAGAGCAGTCAGTGCTCTTAACCTCTGAGCCATCTCTCCAGCCCCCTGTTGTTGATTTTTTAAGGCAGGTTCTTGTTTTATAGTTCAAGCTGGCCTCAAATGTCTAATTTTTCTATCAAACTGAAATGAAACAACTTCCTCAATTTTGTGTTTTATTTGAAGATTCTTAATTATTTTAAATATGTCAGGTCATTGTACCTCATGTCATTGAACATGAGGACACTCTGGGAGTTCCCTCCGGAGTCTGCTTTCAGGATGTGTTAGAACTGCCAGTGTCCAATTACCCAATCCTCTAGGTTAATCAATGAATCTGAGCTGGGCAGTGGTGGTGCACACCTTTGGTCCCAGCACTCAGGAGGCAGAGGCAGGTGGATCTCTGTGCGTTCAAGGCCAGCCTGGTCTACAGAGTGAGTTTCAGGACAGTCAAGGCCACACAGAGAAATCCTGTCTTGGAAAAAAATAAAAAAAAGAATTTGATGTACCTGGCAGAGTGACCTGAGTGACCCAAGAATCTAGCTGGCTTAAAGGGAGGAAGTTAGAACGTTCCCTGAAACAACAAAATAACTATTTTATGTTCTTCCACAGGAAGAACACTGGTTGAACAGTCAAATCACTCACTGAAGTCTTTGAGGTTTTATTACTATTTTATTATTTTTCCTGATATTGTTTTTAGACAGGGCCTTACTACCCAGACTTGCCTTATAGTTTACTCTGTAGCCCTTGTCTGTGACCCACACCCTTGGAGGTTAAACCAGCGAGATTGCTAAAGTCCTAGGTTAGCCTTAGCTACAAAGCAAGTACTAGGAGGACCCTGTCTCAAAAAGCAAAAACAAAACCAAAAAAGAAAAAAAAAACAAAAGAAACCCAAAATAAAACAAAACAAATAGAAAAACAAAACAAACAAAAAACCCAAACAAACAAAAAAAGAAAGCAAGAAAGAGGACAGTTTTAGACTTTAGTCTTGTCTTTTGAGACAGGCTCTCATGTAACCCAGGCTGGCCCTGACTTCCTCCCTGTGTAGCCAAGGTTGGCAGTGTCCTGATCCCCCTTCTTCTATCCAAGTGCTGGGATTATAAGTAAGGGTAGATTTTAGGTTTTGTTTTATTGTTATCATTTTTAAAAGTTTATGTTAGGAGGTGGTGGTGTACACCTTTAATCCCAGCACTCAGGAGGCAGAAGCAGGTGGATCTAGGCCAGCCTGGTCTGTTGAGCGAGTTCCTGGGCAGTCGGGGCTACACAGAGAAACCCTAACCAAAACAGAACCAGAAAGAAACTTGTGTCTGTCATTGCTTTTGTCCTCTTTAGTGGTCCTGAAAGATTTGAAAGACAATGGCAGAGGATCCCTATGCAGGTGGCCCAATTCCCAGCCATGTTGTCTTTCTCTGTCTTCGTTTGTTTCAGGTTCACCGAACACACCTCTCCAAGTTCACATTCTGTGTCTTACCTTGGGCTACTTCATCTTCGACTTGGGCTGGTGCATCTATTTCCAGTCCGAGGGTGCCCTGATGCTGGCTCACCACACACTGAGCATCTTAGGGATCATCATGGCCCTAGCACTTGGGGAGTCGGGCACAGAGGTCAACGCGGTCCTCTTTGGAAGTGAGATCACCAACCCGTTGCTCCAGTTGCGCTGGTTTCTCCGTGAAACCGGGCACTACCACAGTTTCACTGGGGATGTGGTAGACTTCCTCTTTGTGGCTCTGTTCACTGGTGTGAGGATTGGTGTAGGTGCTCATCTTCTTTTCTGTGAAATGGTCTCACCCACACCCAAGTGGTTTGTGAAGGTTGGGGGAATAGCGATGTATGCTGTGTCTTGGTGCTTTATGGTTAGCATCTGGCGCTTTGCGTGGAAGAAAAGCGTCAAGAAGTACCATGCGTGGAGAAGCAGGAGGAATGAGGAGCGGCAGCTAAGACATAATGGGCATCTCAAGACTCACTAGCCAAGGCTTGCTCCTGGTAGATGGATTAGTTTGAATTGGCCACAGGACCAGAACTGAGCTTATAGTACTCAAGAACCATAGGGCACTTAGGTTTCAAAAAAGGGCTAAATGTATCCATCACTTTAGTCATGTTCCAAGCTAAGCATATGCAGTATTGATACACTCCCTCCTACAGTGGTACTTGCACATCCTCAATGGTGACTGGCAAGTGGCATTGTATAGGGAGGACCATTGCCACTTGTTTTTGGGTCTCCATGTTCATGGGAGGCCTGATAGATATTCAGACAACTTTGAAAAGAACTTGAATCAAGTCAGTGCTGTCTCTTGTTCCTTTGGAAATAACTTCTGAGTTCCTCTAGACATTTTAAATATGTTCTGCGAATGTGCTATAAAGGAAGGGACTCGTAGGAAGGGACATGCATTTGACATTCAGGCATCTGTGAATAGGATCTGTTGTGCAAAAAGGGACAGAAGGATGGGAGTGGAACTAGCAATGACAGGGACTGTCCACTGAGCCTCCCTACTCCGATTGTGTCAGAGGTTCTTAAGGACACACTTGGGTTCCACGATTCATCAAGAAGACTCAGGGTTTAGCATATAGTCTTACGGCTTTGATTTAGGACAATGACAGGATACAGGGAAGACTCAGCAAATGGAAAAGGAAGCCTATGGGATCGAAGTATGAGCTTCTAAAGTCTCCTATTTGGATATAGGGGAGTGATTCAGTGATTCATGACAATGCACATGAAAGTCATCAAAGACTTGGTGCCCAGAGCTTTTACTGGCAATAAAAATTTTTGCCTAGCACAAGGCAAAATTCAAGATTCCACGCAACAGGCATTTGGCAAAAGCCATAGTGTTTCAGAAACAGTATGGGAGTAGTGAGCCAATCTTAACAGTTTCTGGTGGGAGCCCTTTCTAAGTTGCAGTTTGTAGGTGCCAGCCAAGGGCCAACATTGCAAGCAGGCCTTTGCAAGGATAGCAAGCAGTTCAGGCTTGCTATGTTAACTATTGAGTGCACAAAAAAACATAGAGCTAATGCTTTGGATGCAAGATGAACGAGGTGTGGGTAAATTTAGATTTACTTAGTCCTGTTGTGCGGGTTCTGCCCTACCAGGAAAAGTATGCCAGTTCTCAGGGCTTTTGTGAATTAATCTGCTAGGCATGAGAGGCCATGGCTAAATTCCATGGGGATTTACCATGTGGATTCCACTGTACTTGAGATGGAGTTCAGGTTTCAGCTCCTGGTACATACTGCAAACCAGAACCAAAGATTTCAATGTACGTATTGGCCTCAGGGTGATGAGGCTCTCTCCTTCCTTCCTTCCTTCCTTCCTTCCTTCCTTCCTTCCTTCCTCTCCCTTCCTTCCTCTCTTTTTCTTCCTCTCCCTCCCTCCTTTCTTCCTTTTTCTTTGTTGTAGATACATTCCCTTTTTACTACTTTTTTCCACCTCTCCCGAGATATGATCTTGCTTGTGTAGCACAGGCTAGCATTGAACATTCTATTCCCCTGCTTACATCTTCTCAGTGCTAGGATTACAATCCTGTGCCACCATGCCTGGCTCTAATGTAGAGCTTTAATGAAAGAAAAAAAGTATTATTTGTTAATGCATTTGCTATTTTTCCTATGTTATTTGGGTCAATGGTGATTGGCTAATTCAGTTGTTAAGCCAGGAAACTGTACTACTGAAGCAAGGCTGATGTCAGCAAGTAGTGTCAGTTCATTCTATAGTCACTGGTGTCACTAGCCCAATGAGTGACCACAGATGGTATGGGCTACAGAAACCAGTCACGGGGGAGAGGCTGGAAACATGTAGACATTCTTGCAAATGGAAAAGCACTTTAACAGCGAGACCTTTAAAGGTGGCTGCTGTACAGTTAAATGGGCTGCTTTTGGCTCTTGGGCTTTTCTGTTTTCTGGAAAGACAGCACCATGCCCCCTTTTCTATGATTTGTGTCCCAGATATGCCAGTGTGCTTCTTTCCAGAAAAACTGTGAGCAGAATTGGAAGCTGGGGAATGCTGATTTCAGCAGAAGTGTTGTCAAAAAGAGTGGCTTGGCACACGAGCAGAAAGGAAAAACAAAACAAAACTGGCTTTTTCTTTTGGCACTGTGCAACCTGCTCCAGACCAGATGAGTGAGCAGGCTTAATCTAATACTGGCTCTTGTCTCCCTTACCCCTCAGAGGTAAAGACTGTAGATCTTTCTGTTGGAGGCAAACTCAAGGCAATGTCTGTAGGTTTTTTTTTTTAATTTTTTATCAGAAGATACCTGAACAAGTGATAAGGGGGAGGAATTCTGCATTTCAGCTTTTCTTGATGTTCTAACTAGTAACCATGAAGACATTTCTCTTAGAGAACAATGTGAAGATGACTCAGCAGTTAAGAGGTCGCCTGTTTTTATAACACAGGTAAATGAAGGGCAGATTAGCGTGTGCTGTGTCTCTAGACAAAAGGAAATACTTGCATTTGAATTACTGTGTAATCATCACTGATACTGCTCAAGAAGGATTTATATTTCAATATGATTTGTACTAAATTTTATAAAAATAAAGTAACTTTTTATAGACCCAGAGTCTTTGTTGTGGCTTTGCCAAGAAAAACAGCCTTTGGCTTGTAGAAATGTGGACATCCATTCATACTTGGTGGTGACAGTAATCTGCTCTTTGGTATTAACCATTTATACTTTTTATATGGAAGATGGCAATCAGCACGTGGAAAATAGTTTGCATAAAGGGGAAGAATATCTCTCTGATTTACCACCTGTTTGAGCAGTTGCTGTCTCCCCTTCCCCCAAGCTTCAGGTATGCTAGGCAAGCACTCTACCATGGAGCTGTACCTTCGCCCCTGGCCCTCTTTTTTTTGTGACAGGGCCTCACTTTGTAGTATAGGCTGGCCTGAAACTCACTATGTAGACTGCCTCCAAACTCAAAGTAATCCCACTGCCTCAGCCTCCCAAGTGCTGGGATTAGAGATGTAAGCTACCATACTCAGCTAGACTGAATTTCTATTATTTAGATCAGTCCTAGACACACTAGGTCCTTAGTAAGCACACTGAAATAAGAGATAAGAGGACAAATGTAGCTTAGAGGAAGTCTCATCAGAAAATGGCATGTCCAGTGATTGGGTCACTGATGCCACCACCTCCTAGGTAAAGGGCTATGTATGACTTAGGGAGCAGGCCTTGGTTTGCTTGACCGTGTGTTCTATAGGTAGATAGTTTGTAGGACAGTGGAGCAGCCAACAGTTATAACGAGGCGTTTATCAGGATATTTAAATCAAATCAAGGCCTTGCAAGTGATTAGAGATTTTCATCATTGAAATGGTAGCTCGGGAGTGAATAACCACTGGTTATTCAGTCCTTTGCTGGCCATCTTCTGAGGCTTTCCCACAGCAAAGTGCCTTCTTTGCTCACTGCTGAAACCTCAGGGTTGTTAAGTTTGGAAAGATGTTGAAAGCAGCTTGCCAAAAGGTTTTGTATGCAAGGAAGAGGTGGTGAATTAGGAAACGTTCCCAGTTTGTTTTATTCCTGAAACTTAAGCATTGAGGCAGACTGGGAAGGAAGATGGGAACTTATTTTTAAAATTCATGATTTGATGAGTCATTAGACTCCATTCATTTGATGCTTGCATTGTTACACTATTAGAACACGGGAGAGTAGGACAGTACACTCAGGACAACTCGAGTAAGCTTGGGCATAAGGTTTGCCTTTTGTTTATTGTATATAGATTTATGGAACTCGTTCCAGCTATAGGTAGAAACAAGTGGAGTCTTCAGGATAGAGTTGCCATGTTGGGATTTACCAGCAGATGGCAACGTGTCCAGGTCTGATCATTAGGAAAGTGGCTTGGAACTCGAATCTGCTTCTATTCTTTCCAAAAATAAACATTACAAAATTAGCTGGCTGTGCCCTGAACTTAAAAAAAAATACAGCAAGAGAGTCATTTCAGGCATCTGTTTATCTTTCCCCCTTTGTACCCTGTTCTAACGTCACCTTGAGCTCATGCATCTATTCAGGGATAATGATCCTTTCACGAACTGTTGTGGCATGACTTGGAAACAGCATTATTAGGAGGCAACTGTTTCCTCTCCACATGCACTGTTTATTAGATTTGATTTCCACAAAATAGCCGAAGTCTCTTCCTACCGACACGGCTTGAAGCTCAGAAGTTTAAAGATAATTGTATAAAAGGAATAGCCATTTGAGGTTTGCAGGCAGAATTGGAGAGCTATATTGTGTCGTGGTACTTCCTTTCTTCAGGGACAGAATTAGTCAGTCATTAACACTGCATGGGTAGCTCCATGCCTCTACCCCATCGAAAAAGAAACCGGAAAACAACATTTGGGAACTCTTCAAAGGGATCCCTAATGCTGTTTACTGGACAGATGTATTTCTTCTCCCATCTCTTTTCACAACAAGCTTATTAACTTGCTGTGGAAAGCACCATGCTTTTTCAATTTGGCAAATAATGCAGTTCATTTTGCCAAGGCAAAACAGCCTAAAAGCAATATTTATATCAAGAACTCCCGGCTTCAGTGTGGGCCCAGATTCTTTCTCCCCTGTCTTTTCTGGCCACCCCGGTTGCAGTCTAGGCCAGCAGGTGCCCCAGGTGAGTGGACCACCCCCCAAACCTGTCTGCCTGTGGGCTTGCCTAACACTGTCAGGGCACGTGCACCCGGGCTCGTGTGCAGCCATCAAAAGCATTTGACACCGGGAACGAGTGCATTCCCTTAAAGAATAAAAGTTTCTAGTGCAAGAGAGGTGGGGAATTCCCCGAAGACCCTCTAGACTTGAACTCCGGGATTATGGAATGGCTCATCTGTTGTCCCGGGTGGAATCTACACTCTGTACTGCACCTGAGGGCATTCAGGGAAGGTGAGGAGAGTGGCTGGCGGCGGAGAGAGAAGCAGCTTCCTTCTGATCCGCAGAACTACTTTTCGCTCCCGCCATCCCCCTTGACAGCGTTGCGCGGAAGTATCCGCGCAAGTTTGGAGAATCTGGGAAGCGGAGGGATCCCGGGTGAAGCGGCTTCCCGAAGTCCCAGGGAGAAGGGCCCAAAAAGTCGGCGGGGGAGGGGACGGCTCGGGGCGCTGCAGCCGAGCCGGGCCGAGGAGACAGAACCGGAACCGGAACCTCCGCGCGCGCCCGCAGTGGTCGTAAGGCCCGTCACCGCCGGCGGCCCCCCTCCGCCGTGCGCGCTCCCGCCAGTCCCCCCTGAGGACCCGGCGAGCGGCCCTCCGCGCGGAGCAGCACCCGCCGCCGCCGCCGCCGCCGCCGCCGCCGCTTCTCAGGGGCCGGGCTTCCGGGCCGGGCCGGGCCGGGCCCTCCCGCTCCTCACGGGAGCCGCCGCCTACCAGAGCGTCGGGGAGGAGCCGTCGAGCCACTGCGGAAGAAGCGCGGGGGCCTCCGAGGGATGGGGAGCTGCTCGCGGAGCTGAGACAGGGTCCCTGTCAGCGCGGCGGCCGGTGCCGGGTGGGGGCGGCGCGGAGCAGCTCAGGGCCCCGGCCCGGGGACATGGGGCGGTGCGAGCCGGTTGCGGGACGGCACGAGACGCGGCGGCGGCGGCGGCCACGAGCGGCCGGCAGTCCCAGATAGAGCGGGCACCCGAGGGCCGGGCCCCGCCGACTCGGGACAGGAGGCGACGCCCGTCCTGAGCCGATCCTGCCACAGCCCCGGAGGGATCCGAGTTCCCGTCCCAAGCCTCGCGACTTCCCTCTGACGAAGTTTTTCCCCTCGTGCCTTGAACTCGCTTGTGGCCGACTTGCTCGGTTTGTTTGGGGAGATAACTTGTTTTGCTTCAACCCGCATCCCCTTTCCTTGACCCCTTGCAATCGGATGTTCTAGATGACTGAATGGAGTTTTGAGTTGGACTTTTGTGTCCCTGCCGAAATTGAGCCTGATCCCAGAGCACTGGGGGTGGGGTGTGGAGGTGTTACTGTAAAATGCCAGTTGGATAAAAAGAAGACCTCTCGCCAAGGGCCCCAATGAGTGGCACACAGTCAACTATCACGGACAGGTGGGTATGAAGTTCCTCGGTCGCTAATTTTCCCTGATTTGGCCCCACGCAGCAGGGGGGTCGGTGTTTGCCGATTTGCCGTCAGCTAGTGCAGTTGACAGGCATAGGAAAGAAGGTTGTTTCGGAGCGGTGCAATTAGTCTAGGGTTGCTGCCAAGTTAGCCGGTTGATTGAATTTGGAAATGCAGTTTTTTTGGGGGGGGAGGACAGAAACTTTCCCCATATTCTCAGAGGAAATGAAGGAAAACCATAGTTGTGATTTTCTGCCGGGTGCATTAGGATTGTGTACTCATTTCGGAACCAGAGGAAGGTCATTTTGGGTGAAGGTCAGAGCCCGAGGTCGGTGGGTTTTGGTGCATCATCAGGTTGATTCCTGTCCTGTGGCAGAGTTCTAGACTCTTAATTTTAGGAGTTTCTGTCTGTGAACTTAATTTTCATTCTGCTTCATGGTGATTTGTGAATCTGACCTCTTTTTATGTGACCTGCATAGTGTTTAATTATTAATTACCTAATTTTCCAGAATGTTGACACTACCAGTAAATCACGGGCTCTTGGTGGGGACAGTTTCCAGGAGCTGAAGGAAATAGGGGAAAATCATGGGGCCTGCATCTAATTATTCTCTTTTACATTTCATCTTCTAGATGCTCTCGAATTTATTGATGTAAACCCTAAGTCTGGTTTAGGCATGGCAGGTGGATCCTGTTTGTTAACCAGGGTTGCATAGCATTGCATATAGAATATGTGGCCCTAGTGTAATTCTCTGGCACTTAAAGAGTTCTTTTGAGTACTTTTCAGTGAAAGCAAGTTGGTTCCTTCAGCATGTTTTATTTCTCAATTTAATTATGACATTGTGTGTTACTTCCAAATTTTAACTTGCTGTTTTTTAAAGTCAGTCTTCAAATTGTTATTAAAAAAATAAAAACCAAAAATAATTGAAGCAGAAGATCAGAAGTCTATCATGCTCCTGCAGAAAGCCGTTTAATTTTCTAATAAGAGAGTCTCACCCAATTGTGAGACTCATTTATTGATTTTTTTTAAAGGGGCCAAATTCCATTATCGTACCATAACAGCTCCTCTAGAAGCAGAACTTCCTTTTCCTGTTGATGCTTTTCAGTGTCACATGAGCATTCACCTAAAGATGCCCTTAAATATTTAAACTACTTATGTTTACCCTTTGTTTGTGTGCTTTGCGAGGCAGGATTTCATTTTCAGTTTTCCTGCAAATACACTTTACATCTATGTAGAGGCAGTTGCTTTGTGTGTTCCTGCCTCCCCATCCTTGTTCCTTCTCCCTTCATGGTGTTTTGCTTCTAAGAAATCACTCTCAGGTATCTGTATAATTGTTCTTCTGGTTCCTTCAGTTCTTGTCCTGCCTATAGATGAGCAGACCTCCAGAGACTGATGTAGTCCTGGTTTTTGTTAAGATGCTGCAGAGTCTAATTTGTAGAAACAGAATTTAGAGTCACTGAATCATTGCACACAAAAGCACCCATGTAAGGATTTCTTTCTTTCTTTTTTTTTTAAACCAGCTTTGCATCTCAGGGATTTTTGTT